CTTCACCCCACGTCCTCGCCCCGCAAGTCTCAAGACTACGGTTGTGGACTCTACTCATTATAATATGGACTTGTTAACGCTGCTCACCACCTGTATGGATATGGGGACATGTGGTGTCAACAAGATGGGGCACCCCCACATAATCATCATCGTGATGTCAGGACCTATCTTGACAATGACTTTCCTGAATGATGAACAGGACAAAGAGGATTTGTTGAGTAACCCCATGACTGCCAGATTTAACTCTTGTGGAATTACTTGAAGGATGCAGCAATTCAACTGATTTCAGTTCAGTTGCAATTTAGGTACAGTGAGAGGTACAGCATCCACCAGTAAGAAATTCATCTTTTTCCTATAGTTCATCATGTATTTCTTCATTAACTAATTGCATCCTTTTACTAGGACCCACCACGATTTTGACAAGGAAAGGTTCAAACCCAGGACAACAAAACACTTCTTTGCAATACTAAAGTCTAAGAAGGAGACATAATGAACAAATAAATAAAGGTGAATGTATTGTGAGTACGTAAATTTTGAATATGCCAGTAAGACTACTTCCAATGTACTACCCCTGGAACTAATTAGCACCAAAACAATTAGTAAGCTTTTAGACACACAATAAGATTATCAGAGGACAAATTTAACTTCATAGCTCCCCCCTCTTTTCACATAGGGCACCTTGAAAATTCTAATCTTGACAAACATTCAGCCAACAACTTTTCAGTGAAACTGGGAACGTACCACAACCTGAACTACGCACAGACACACTTTAAGCAACATAAGAGAATCATAATAAGGGAAATTTTGTGTCTATATGCAAATTTATTAAATTCCATAGATCCACACATTAGTCGGATGATGAAATGATGTGGAGTACATCATAATAATACACAAGCACGATTCAAAGAAATGTAAAGATTTCATTATGATTCTAGTATAAATAAGCAACCATCAGCTTTTGTGTTAGATGAAACTTCTCTGCTATGAAGAGGCGAGCTTGTTTGCTTCCTATCAATTACAGATCTAAAGTTGTGCTGATTAACAGAAACCCTTACATTGGACAACTGGTGGCCTCTAACTAAGCAGGATTGAAAGGCATGTCTGCAGAATACTGTTTTAAGAGCTAATTCACGTTGTTCTGACACAGCAAAAAATCATCAAAATGAATATCATGCAACTACAGACCCTCATGATCATTACAAATCCCAGGGAAGTTAGATTTTAATTCACTAACTCCTTGACTCTTAAATTTATATTAGTATGGTAATGCAGAAATCAAAGTAACACCAAAATTCTTCTGGTACGTAAAAGGTTATTGAAAAGATTAAATATTTTGCATTTTATTCTCTAAATTCTTTTATAAATTCTTTCAAATTCTTTAGTGTTTCTTTCAATCTTCTACTTACAGACCGATATGTACATCTGATAAAAAATTTAAGAAAAGACAACACCTCGCCCAAAATTGAAAAACAAATGGCATGAAACATCACCAAATGGAATCATATTTGAGTTTTAAGTTCGTAAATATTTTACACCTGATGATGGTTTTATAAAAACTGAAACATGTTGTGTAAAAGATGTTCCAAAATGTAAATCGATCAATCGATATGGAACATCAATGATATTTTATTATCTTAATTATAAGAAATTTTAAATATTGTGATAAGACGGATTAAAATAAATAATTATTAAATACTTCCTGATTGAGAAGTCACGCAACTCATTCCTGAGACATGTTCTGTTTTTGTCAAAAAATACATTACACTGAAATCATAATCGTAAAAGAAAAGAGCAACGTTATGTAAAGTGCTAGAAATGTCCACTACGAGATTCCAGGTAACCTTGGATGGGCAGACAGGTTTGAGCAAGTTATAACATGACGTGATCTGCATGGGCTCTTGTATGGTCATGACGACTGTAATCCAGTCAACTGTATTGAATTGCAGACATTAATAAATAACTGAAAAGGAATTACGTGACTTTTCGATTATCCTCTGCAATAAAAACAACGAATAAAACTTAACTGTACATGGTAACATAGTTCAAGTTTCATCAAAGTTAGGCAAATGACTCAAAAGTATCATAAATAATTATGGATCTACAAAAATCCAAGCAACTAAAATTTAGAGTAGGTTCTTCCATACCGAATCTGGCCGATATTCGTCGGGTACATTACGAAACGAACCTAAATTAATGGCTGATTTGTTTATTTATAAAATGTGGCGTTTGGAGGTAATGAACGCCAAGAAACAAACGCTGATGTCAAACGAACCGTAAACATTTCGGCGTGGCGAAACACGAATAATTTGCATATAATTCCTGCTCCAGCGTTTCGAAACACTGGACTGACGTCACGCCTTCCGCGATATTGATCCGACTGTGGAAACGGCGAATCACATACGAAGAAATTACAGTAAAAAAAATGTCCGGCCATTACTCACGGTTCGTGTCTGAGCTCCTGGATGCCGTTTTAATCACGAACGTACGTCATACACTTTTCAAATTATCTATTTTTTTTTTCTGTTTTACAACACAAGGAACATTCACCCACACGCCGTGACCGCTATTCACTTAAACCAACCACTGCCAATGTCATCACTGTCTATCAGGCACTGCTCTGGCCGGGCGAAATCTCACACACGCTCCTTAAAACTGTTTTTTTTTTCGCAGTGGTACACACGCACTATTATGATATCCTGCAGGGAATTATCCACTGTCTGCTACTTTACATTATATATTATAGATCAGGAATTTTAATTTGAAATTTAAATAACAGACAACGCTTTGCTATAATGCGTTCTCCGCTTCGCAATTGTTCAGAGAGTAGAGCGACATGACGATCAGTGTTAGAAGCTCGAGGTTTCAATTAACTACAATGATTTATGCCAACAAAGACACCAATGTCTGCCTGGTTTTAAGAAAAAACGCGAATAGATTTCTGCGACATTTCCGAGTCCTCCGAAAACTTTGGTTGGCTGGTTCCTCGTTGACCAGCCGGAAGATCAGCGGACAGGCGCTGATGCGAAGGTGTCAAATAGCAAAGCTGAAGTTCGAATCCGGATGTCTGAATATGTGTCCTTTAAAGCGTGTACTGTTTTCTCGAAAAGATGCCTACTCCAAAGGCCCGCTGGCAGACCGGGACTCCGCTAATAAGTCTTCACGTGGTTGTCGGGAGGATCCTCCACTGTCCTCAGAGCGACCCTAGAGGGGGCGATGAACAAGGAAAGAGCCCAGCAACTAGAGCCTACGGGGATGAGATGATGGCATTAACAAAGACACAGCATCCGATACCCCGACGGCCTAAAACCTCCAGACCTGCCGAATCCACAACCAGGGATGAGGAGACTCGTCAGATATCCCATCTCTGGTGGAGGATCTATGCAAAGAGGAGACCCTACTTAATCAGTCTTCGAGAATGCAATGGGGAGAATTAGATTTCTCCAAATCAACTCAGTTATTCAGGAACAGAGGGGTACAGGGGGCCAAACGAGAGGATCCGTCAACACTGGGGCACACCAAGAACCTGCTTGGTCTTCTGGCGCAGGGTTATGAAGGCGATGAGGATTTGATTCAGCAAGAGGAGAGACAAGAAGGGGCTCACTGACTATGACCACCGCCCACAAAGCAGACATGGGCGATGCCAACGCCCACAATATTTTATGGGGACGCACAGACATCAATCAACCACAGGGAACAAAGCCGAATGAGGTATCTGCCAAGGTCCGACCTCAAGATAGTTAAAGGACCTACCATCGACGTAAGTTTCCTGACAGAGATGAATGATAACAGAAGGGGGTTCATCTGGTGTATAGGAGATGGATCCAAGACAAGTGAAAGCACTGGAGCTAAGGGATGAGGCTGGGGTTTGGGCCTAGAAGTGGCTGCTGTCTGATGAGTGGCATAATGGCGGCAATCAGAATAAGAAGATGGCCAAGCCGTAGTAGTCCAAGGCCCCCCCCAGTCCAAGAACACTTTTCCGTTGGATCCATTGGCAAAGAAACCCCTCCTGGCAGCATTAAAAAAATTAAAGCCAATTTTGGTTATTTTTAAAAATACTAATTAAAATGACAAATTACTATACCACAAGCTCAAATATAAATGTCGTTGAAATGTCTACAAATTAGTACAGAAATACGAAGTATTAAAAAAAATGGGTAACCAGGCCCCTGTGTGGTAGTCCCGACGTCGCCAAGGCCGAAGTTTATCTAACCTGATATACCGGACATCGAGGAGTGTCCAGGCCCAGGTGGAGGGGGGCATAAGTTATGTAGAAAGCCTTGTGGAACCTCGCTGAAAGACGTGAAAGTTGCCCACAAGGTGTTCTCTTCTCTTACATCAGGCGTGAGGATAACTAAAACACTCCCAAGTCGGGAAACGTAATAATGACTAATCAGCAACCCTTAGATTTTACAACAAAAGCTACGGAGTGTATTCGTTCCTCTGGAGACCTCGTACATCCTCGTCGGTCAGAACTTTTGTAAGTATGCTGCACATTCAACGCAGAGCAATTATAATTAATCACTTAAGCTTGCTATCACCTGACGTAGCAATAGAGTGATTAGCACTCCTGCTCTTACTTCGAGACGTCCTGGGTTCAAATCTCTGCGCGGAGACCTGCTAACATTACAGGGATTTCATGCTCTCAGTCTCTTCAGTACATGACGGGACAGTGCGTTAAATCAGTCTACAGCAACTTCCTTACACATTCTTTCCAATTAATTATTTGCTAATCACTCAATTTACCCGAGAATATTTTATTAACCACTCAGTCAATCGACGCTACATAATACGAGCAAGTGATGGCGGGGCCAATGCAATACAAAAATTACAACATTCGTACGCGCTAACAAAAACGTCATTATACCTACGAGCATATCTACAACACCTGTTTAATGGCATACGGGCCTGGCCGGCAGATCTTTCTCATATATACCAAGACAACATGCCCACGTGATAGGTCTGCTACGTATCAAACATAGACATAACAATATAATACTTACATTTATGCTCCGAAAAAAACAACACCACAACCACTACTGTACGAAACTGCACAATTAATAAACAATTACACACACGCACCACACCAACCATACCCCTGTACAAAATACCCAACATCTGATTGGCTGATATCGTAATCACAATTATGACGTCACTGCAAAAGCAGGAAACATTCAATACCAAACAGATATTGGTATCGCAATGTAATTCACTGGAACGAAGCCATATAATACTGCACTGTCATCTACTGTTAAGAGCGATATCTATCTACTACGGTGGCCACAGCTCAGTCGGTAATAGCGTGAACTACTACTCGCTAACAATTTTGTACCCTCATGCTTTCTCACGTTAATGAATAATTATGGGACCCTGAAAGCGATGTTCTGCCAATTTACTTACAAGGGGTTAGTACCAGTATACTGTATTTTACTATAAATACTTTTATTCTGGTGTTACCACCTGAAAAATTTGATACTTTCTGAATCATAACAAACGGCTAAGACAATCATTCAAAAACTAACAAGGGGTAGAACTTACTCAGTCTTTAGAATAAAGGTAATAATTACATTCTAGAATGCACTTCATATATATCCATGTTGAACTTGTCTGTGGTAAATGTGCAACGTTTCTGAAAAATATGTTTGGCACTTGTACCATTCTACACAGCTATCATATTCCATGAGGCATGAATCCTTCTTGAGAAGCTAATAGTCACTCAATTAGCCAAGAAATTGTCTCACCAGACCTTATCCTGAACCACATGAGTCTCAATCTACTTCCGTAATCATCCCAGCCACATCCAAATCACCCCAAGTTTTCACATCTCTTACAGTTTTCTGGCACACATTTTTATGTGAACAACAAATTTAAATTTAGTTAGTACTTGTTTATAATGCAGTTCAAAACTCATTATACCACTTAATTTCACCTTGCAGTTACAATGGCTTCCTGTGAACTATAAGCACATCCTGCCCTGATCACGAGAGAACGGATGATTCATTAAAGAACCCGAGGGTCGTAATGTACTGAATGTTTTGTTTACAATACAACACTACCTACAAAACTATTTGTAAGTTTAGGTGAAATTAATGTAACAAGATAAACAAATAGTTGGTAAGAGCTTACAGAACAGCTTTACAGCTGATGCTAGCTCTTGATAACAAGCATCAAAATTTTCTGGCATCTTTCATGTGACTTTGTAAAGTCTTTCTGATCAATTTTGGCAACAGTCTGTTCAATATTAAATCAATTTCTGCAAGCTTCATAGGTTATTTCTTTAAGAAATTCTCAAAGATGTCTAGCAGGGTCAAGATCTTGAGATCATGGTGGCCAAAGCCCATACTCAACAACGCACTCACCAGAGAACCCTTGTATGTTTTAAAGTTAAATTCACAGTGTGAGCTGTCACCCCCTCATGTTTAAACCAGCAATCCTGGATGCCAAACATTTCCTGTCACAAATACTTCCTGCATCCCAAACTTTTGTTACCAGTCAGTTTATTGTTGTATTCAGTACTTCCTCGTCAGGATACACACTGCTAAATGCTTCACGAACAGCACCAAACAATTGCAATGTGAAATAACATTAAAAATGAACACTCAATTTTCACACTTGCACAGCTTCTCCACAACTGACTTGAACAATACTGTATCAACTAGGATGGATGACTTTTGCTTGAGTGTCAGGGGAAGGATGGGATAGTATATTACATGGGGATGGACCTGCTTCAGATTTCATTTTTGCGCCACAGTATGATTGTTGCTGGGTTTCATTTAAATGGTACAACTGCATGATAGTAGAGGCTCCATAAATGAATAAACAAGCTTTGTTACTCTTTGTAAATCTTTTACATAAGCTACTGACTTCAAGGGTCCTTTAGAAAGTAAATGAGTGGATGCAGGTCCAATGACCATGGACTTCAAGCTTCCGCACTTCCTTGACCAGTTACAGTACAAACGATTACGGAACTCTATTACAGTAAAACCTCTCTAACTTGGACACTTGCGGTTCCATGATAATGCGTCCAACTTACAGAGGTGTCCAGGATAGAGGGAAAGGGGAAAATCATCCTTTCAAATTGTGGTGTAATGACAATGTGGTAATTGTAGAGTATTATGGAGCCCTTCACAAAAAGGAAATTATTGATAAGAAAAATCAAAAGGGTAAATTAAATTTTTACAAATTTTGTTTTCAGTAAATTAAACATGCATGGATAAGCTCAACGGGAAGGGCACCAATACTTTACGTTTATCGACAATGTAATCTATTTAATTACATAATCTAACTACTGTAGGCTTGCTCGAATTAAGAATTAATGACAATAATAATAATGTTTTGAAACCCACTCTCATGGTTGCACATTACACCCCAGCCTCAATGAAATCTTAAATATTCAGAAAGTATTTTTTTTAATTGTACTTATGGCAGTAGCTCAACATATGATGTCACTTATTTCTTGTAAAAAGGTCCGTCACAAAACACTGCTTTTTTGCTTTTATCTTGGAATTTGTCATCCTCTTTCCAATTTTCGCCACAATCCGAATACGGTTTCAACCATTCCTGGTTGATTATGAGCGAAGGCATAGCGTTCCAATTTCTGTTAACTCAGTTGCAAGCACGGTACTGACAAAGTTAAAACTCCAGTGAGGGGTTTAACAAAAGAATAACTATTCACTTTCACTGCACTCCAATGATGTGTTCAATGTCTCACACCCTCAGGTAGAAGGCATTCATCAGTCAGAAATTCAAAACAACAAAATATTAACTGTAAACATTTCCCATAAAAGCATTGAAACTAAGTGCATGCATGCACCTGTCCAACTTACAACAAAAGGGGTGACCAAGTTCCAGGATAATGGAGTGTCCAAGATATAGGGTGTTGTGGACATGTAAATTATAGGATATTCGCCGGTTCCAATTAAAAGTGTCCAATATAGAAAGGGTGTCCAAGATATAGAGTGTTGTGGACATGTAAATTATAGGATATTCGCCGGTTCCAATTAAAAGTGTCCAATATAGAAGGGGTGTCCAAGATATAGAGTGTTGTGGACATGTAAATTATAGGATATTCGCCGGTTCCAATTAAAAGTGTCCAATATAGAAGGGGTGTCCAAGATATAGGGTGTTGTGGACATGTAAATTATAGGATATTCGCCGGTTCCAATTAAAAGTGTCCAATATAGAAGGGGTGTCCAAGATATAGAGTGTTGTGGACATGTAAATTATAGGATATTCGCCGGTTCCAATTAAAAGTGTCCAATATAGAGGGGTATCCAACTAGAGGGGTTTTACTGTGCTTGCCTCATTCTTGAGAAGAACATCTCTTAGCAATCTTGGCATTTTTCTCAGAAAGGGAGGTACTCCTCCAACCCAAACACCCTTCATGGACAAATAGCCTAATAATTCATTCTCCAAAATATCACATCACAGAATCACCAAAAATGTTTGAGATTTGAGGTTTTCACAGTGGTTAGTATGATGACAGTCTTCTAGCCTCTGATGCCACCTTAAGTAAAGGTAGCTTTATCAGTGAACAAAATGCATGTAAAAATCTGCTGCTATACAATACGCTGCTTGCAAGGTAGTCTGCGGCCTGAAGAGCTTTCATGATACAGATACATGTTCTCTACATCACATTCAACTAACAAATGTGGAACTCTTGAGAAACTAGTAATGGTTTCTTTAAATGCTCTTCATAATCTAGTGTGTGTGTTGCATTTTACTTATGAATTGGACAAACTGCATGACTGTAGTGCCAGGGAGTAGTAGTAGTAGCAGCATGACTTGGAGTTCTGACGATGATGGATTAAACTTAAAATTATTCACTATCTGGACTGTAACAAAATACTTTCTACGTTCTTAAAGAGTAATATTGTATAAATTATTCTTATTTTTAAGAGTTCAAACATACAATAGGACGCAATCTTTAAAATTAAATATAACCTGCTGACAATTCAGACATTAAAAAAACTGTCAAGCACTTAACTGCAATTAAAATAAGAAGTAGAAACATTTCAGACAATATTTCCATGTTCTGTATTGAAATCTACTATCATACACATTTTTAGGATCCTATCCTAGCTTGGGTCACAATCAGTGACACAGTGCCGAGACCTTAGGTTTTCAAGGTGGTGAAAATGTAGATTGCAATCTCCTGGGCTGTAATCCCACCAGTCCTGTAGCTAGTTACCAACATTTCGAAGAAAAAAATTGCGTCCACTTGGGGTCACTTCTACCTGCCACAGAGTATTGTAAAGACTTTAATATAACCAAAAGACATACTCATGGTTTGTCTTGCTGATGCTAATCTTTTGGATTGTAACACCATATGGATTTGCAGGAAGATACATAACAAAGGAACATACTGCCTCCACATTCAGGGCTTAAGTTTTTCATATATGTCTGGCTTTCATGCATGCCACTTGAGTTACAGTTGTTCCATCATGGAAATAGTTCAGTGGTACCAAAATAGCGTGAATGTTGCCATCGTTGTTTTGTGGCACTGGACACCTGCTGATCCTTCCTCACCATTACTGACGGCAAACACTTCTAAGTTCATGCAATTTTTGTACCATTGGAATATTTAATTTATACAAGCATTTTATTTTGCGTGTTCTTTGCTATCGTCACAGCCCTCCATCAAAATAGTAAATTAGGAACTTCATTACCTTTCAACTTACAATTTGCAACATTAATCTAAAATTATGTCATAATTCATCACATATAAAATCTACATTGTATACATTATTACAAATAAAACATTATGCTGCACTTTTAGTATATTCATTTATTTTTTTAATGTAACAACATTTACCTTAAAGAATTAATAAATTGACCACCTGAACACTTTTAAAAATAACTAAACAATATTAGTAAGACTTGGAGCACAGGTCAGGTCTCAAATATGTTAGTGCTATGGAAAAAAGGTTATAACAATATCAGTCAAAATGAGATATGTGTATAGTGATATCTCCTTCCTTAATAAATCAAGTAATAACTGAGTTACACTATCAAACAATAATACTTTCCACTCAGTGACAAAAATTAAATATTGAACTGAGATAAGTACATTACTGCACAATTTCTGAAGTGGTTTCTTCCTGAACTGAAGCGATGTTTTGTGAATTTTTTTACCGTATGCTACAGTGCCAAGCTTTACCCCCATCCCTTCAATAAACTTGCTTCAGGACCAATAGTAATCAAGGTAAAATCTGTATCACAGAAGCCTTGAAGTCCTGGCAAAACACAAAACTACGCCATTTGCAATCCTTTACATAGCAGTCATGTGCTGTACAATTGCACTGAATACAGAAAAAATTACTGTAATAACTTTACCAAACACAAAACCTTAAGCCACCACATCCAAAATCTTCAATCTTCAGTTTTGGTGCACGAGTTTGTGACTGCGATCAATATAAGAATGAATGACACAACAATGATTTCTAAAATAAAACTTCTTCATCCATCCATTACCTGATGTATAGAAATGTGAAGAGTCTATCTCACACTGGTCATCTCAAAATATAATACTGAGTGAAAACTTTTAATACAAGTTAACTACAACATATTCCACACATCCCCATATAGCTATATATTTGAAGCCCCACTATTAAGCCCATAAGATATGTGGTAAAATTTCGTCTATAAAAATTTTCCACCTATAACATCTTCAAGCATTATAAGTTTCAAATAACATACATACATATTACACTTCCGGATTAACATGTTCTTAAAATATGGATATTGTAAAGATGGTACAATTCTCAAACGGCATATCAAAGTATGTATTTAAATAGAATTCTTCAGTACATTCAGTTCAATAGGTTTGCCATTTTTCAGGAAGACACTGTCCATGTATAGATTACAAGCAATACAACAACTTAAAAGTATCTCAGTCATGTTTGCATATATTCTTTTTTTTTATCTCGTGGCATTTGGATGTGTTCTTTTATATCAGTTGCAGAGTTTCAAATGTTAGCAGTGTTCAGTGTTGCCATCTTAATACATTCACTGCCAGGTGTTTAAATTCAGGCCAGACTTTAAATGCCAGGAATTAAAGCAAATGGACACAGCCCCGCACTGCCTGAAGAAAAAAATTATATTTTGTAAATACTGAAAAAGAATAAAATGAACATTGTACATTTAGTACACTTTAAGAGTGTAGGAACTATTTTCCTCGTATGCTGTTTTTGAGAAAAAACCCTGGATGAAAAGTCTCACCTTTGGTTACAGAGTTTCTTGTTTTTTCATTTCCCCACACAGTCTACAGTTCAGGTTTGGCGAGCTCCATCGTGTGTCAGACATTTACGATGCGCTTGTCACTTGTTCGGGCAGAACACACATCTATTACCATTGAAAAGTGACCTCTTCATTTAGAAAATCATGGCTGATCACAAGTCATCCGATGGAGCTCACAACTGCCTTCTTCTCTGTGTTCTGATATACATGATATGACGCAGATATAAAAATGGTATAAGAATCAATGTCATTTCAAATTTCTGCAATTTCCCCTTCTAATAGAGTTCCAAAATGCAAAGATAGTTAGTGCTTTCGGTAAGATGGATTTTCCTCCAGGTACTCCCCATGTAACAAACTGATGACGCCAGTGGGACAGATGCCCCTAACAGGCATCACAGTGCCCCTCCAAACAGGGGAACCTAAAAAATTGGAAGTCATCGATCAGATCAAGTTCCTCCAGCAACCACTACAGGCCTGCATTCCGCACTGTATAACCAACAGCAAGGTCCTCCAAACAAATACTTGACATGGCGTGTGTTATGAAAAGTTTTGAAAATTTTGAAGAAGTCATTGGAAAATGTCCACAAAGTGATGCGCCTGAACTGGGCTTCCAGCACATAACAGACAGACATTGTAAATGCTGCCATAAAACAAAAGCTATGAAAGGATGGGGAGAATAAGAACGAAGGACAAGGTCAGTCGTGTGCTGACACTCTACTAGACTAAATTGGGCCAGAGAGAGTTCGAATATAGCGACAATACAGCTGCTACAAAAATTTGTAGTCATGAGGTGAAGTCTACGCAGATAATCAGGAGCTTACAGTAAATGTGAATCACATCTGCAGATGAAATTATACTGTTTTATATCCATACTTGCAAATGACCAAATGCGCGTGCACGCACTTTTGCTGATGAATCATTCGAAAATGTGACAAAGATTCAAGTACTTGGGGATGACACTAAAAAAACAGAATGACATTCATGAAGAAATCAAGAGCAGATTAAATTCAGGGAATGCCTGCCATCATTCAGTCCAAAATCTTTTGTCCTTCCTAAAGATTAAAACATACAAAAGTGTAATTTTACCAGTTGTGCTGTTTGGGTGCAAAACTCGGTCTCTCACTTTGAGGGAGGAACATAGATTGAGGGTCTTTGAGAACAGTGTTTTGAGAAAGATACATGGGGCTAAGAGGGCAGGAAACAGATCATGGAGAAAAACTGCATAACGATGAGCTTCACGGCCTGTACTCCTCACCTGAAATTGTTAGAGTGATTAAATCGAGAAGGATGCAGATTTCTGTCTTCTGGGTTGTTGCGCTGTGTAGTCTGGTCGATGTTAACCAACGTTTCAGAGGTCATACTGCCTCCGTCATCAGGGCGATGAATATGTCAATAGGGTGTGTGGGGCTAGGTTTACAGGTGCCGGAATGTGAATGGTGTAGCCTGCCCCGAGCCAATGGGAGCAGGCGTGGGAGTGGACCAATAGGAGCGCGTGGGTGAGTGTGAGAGAAGGAGAGAAAGTAAAGAGAGAAAGGAGGAGTTTGGTTGAATGGACCGGGGCCCTGAAAAGGGCCATGTTAGTGGTCTGGTTGGTTCTGGCGGTGCACTCTTGCTCGCTCTCGGAGTCCTCGAAGAGTGTGAATAAGAGGCTTCCAGGACTGGCTCAGGTGAAGTCCATCTTCCCTGTTGAAGTTATCGGGATGTAATTCGATGTTGATGGCTTCCCTGATTATCCGATCCATGTAGCCGGTTTTTGAGGAGAGGACAGGAGGATGAAGTGGGCGGGACACGCAGCATGAATGGGGGAGGGGGAGTGTTTACATGGTACTGGTTGGGAAGCCTGAGGGGAGACCACTGGGAAGATCTAGGCATAGGCGGGAGGATAACATTAAGATGGACCTTAGGGAGATAGGAATTGATGAACTGAACTGGACATGACCCATAGCTCACTTTGCTATAAAACAAAAGCGCAGTCAGTTATTGCCTCTTCCCACTTCTAAGATGTCTTGCAAAAGGGTTCCAGATTCCTATTCAACAACAAGCAATGTTAGACACAGAATGCTTCTGGAGATTAGGAATGCCAGCGTGGAAGGCTCTCAATCATTACCCTATTGACAGTAAAGATGGATATATACCACTGCGCATACTATATAATTTGGTAATCACACCATGATTACTTCATCAATGGAATAAACGTGTTACTAACCACTGTCCGTGGTGCCATGGAACCAAATGCTGTCTTCAGCAATGTTCATTGATTGCATAAAAATAAAGCTCCAACCTCAGCATTATATGCCGGTAAGTGGTCGTCTTCAATGTCTGGGAAAAATTCCCTGGAAATCATTGTATAGGAGGCGTCTGAACCCCATGATTTACACAGTGGTGAAAAAAAATGCCTTCTGGGTACTGAACCCTGGACATCACGCATGAAACAACCATTTCAATGACAAAATTATCTCAATTTGCAGAAACATTAATATATTCACTGTAGAAACTGGGGATTTTCATAATCAGACACGCTTGAATAGAGCCAAGTCATGGCTTTTAATTATCCGCTCATAAGTGATCAGCAGTGAATGTTGTAACACAAACCGCACATTTACTTTTTATTTTACGCAGTGCCATAACTAGGGATAGAATTGTATACATGTCTGCATAAATAATATAAAATTCTTTTCTTTATCTAACATAACAACACAACACACAACTGATGCCACATTTGAAAAAGCAATAAATACTGATAGAAATCCAGCACAAGCATAAAAGTACATAATTAAATTGGAAGTCTGGGAGGTCTCATCACCGAGACGGATACACTTAAGATAAAATACAGTATTTATGCATATATAAGCCACACTATTTTTTCCAAAACTGTATCCCCTAAAACTAAGGCACTGCATACAGTAGGAATATTTAATTATGACAAGATAATTAACATATTGCCTTCTGAATGGGAAGTGTTGCATCATCATTCTTACACAGAGCACAGTGCAAATAACTCACTAATAAATATACAAAGATTTTTCACAGAAAAATCAACAGATGAAATAATGAGGTAAGAGACTGTGAACGCTGCATTACTGCCAATGTTCTGGAAGCGAAGCGAGCTGTTGCACTTGATGGGAGACTGATGAGATGGAATGAAGGGGTAAGAACTTTTAAACAAACTTAAGCAGCCAGTTAGCGGCAGCGCACGAAATCATCTGCAAGAGAGAACTATGCCTCGCATAAGGAAGTGAAGGGGAGTACGAAAATCATCGATCATACTCCATGTTCAGGAAACACACCCTCAGCCCAAATGAATATGAGCCAGCAGTCCAGTGATTTGTGACATGAACCAATACTATTTTGATGAGTAGCAACAGAACTTGTTGCATGCCATCTCTCTCAGTCTCTTACTCATTTCAACAGCTGCCACACACACAGTTGAGTTTCATTACTTGTAGGAGTGGGAAGGTGGAGCAAATGCTCTGCTGAAAAAAAAAAAAACCTCAGCCCAGCAGTATCGAAGTAATAGCACTGCTAGGGTAACCTGAATTATCAGATAGTACTCACATCAAATCTTCATGATTGTTTTACAAAGCAATGAAAAATTATTATGCTGTTCCTTTCCTCAGGTTGTTTGGTATGTGAATACGCCATCTTCAGTATGTCAATCAATTGCATTAATTTTGGTAACTGTATGACTTAAGAAGTACGAGGCAGCAGAAGAGATATGTGGGTCAGCAAACGGTGGAAGGCATTTTTACCACAAGCAGACGTGGAAGTGGAGTCTGCACCAATAATTCACGTATTTTCCAGGCTTTTAGATTTGTTCACTGCATAGCAGCCTAGTGGTTTGTCACATGAACCAATACCATTCTGATCGAATACCTAATGTAAGTCGGTGAATGCTAGCTTGTTTTCTGCCTCCACCGCACTCGTATTAACGGTCATTACCTGTACATTTGTCAAAGCACTCCACCTTTAGTTCCACTTTTGTGATCAGCATGCAATACATTTTTTTTAATTGGCACTTGAGGGAAAATTAACCTAAAAGCATTAATATGGCTTATAAGTAGGACATTTTTTATTTTTTATTTCCTTCTTAAAATTCAGCACATCTTATACACGCATGTGGCTTACATTTGCATTAATACAATACAAATAATAACAACAACTTGTTGCCAATACCCACCACCATAAAGAAGCAATAAACATATTTGTTATTTAAGACTTACACAAATTTTCAAAAATTTAAAATCATGGTCCAGCATTAAAATTATGGCACCGCCAAACAAATCTTATCAAATTCTCCTTGATCCAATAACAGACAGTAAAATTTCTGCCGGTCCCAACATAAAGCAAGTTTGGGTATTGCGCAACTCCAACTGAATGATTTATCTTACATGAGGACATGAGGCAGACGAACTGAATTCAGCCCAATTAAGGAAAAGTTTTATATGAAACTACTCTATAAAGCACAGGAAAATTAACAATGTTTAATAACTTTTAACAACATCCTCCCCCATACAGTTGGGGGAGGCGGTACGAACGTAGCTCCACAAAGGATATGTTCCAACCCTATAAAAACTGACACGGCACTCTGGTGAGAACCAGACACCAAAGTGCTGTGTACATTACATGAATAAATCTTATGAAAGTAGAAAAGAGTGGCAGTGTTGTGTTACGCTAAGTCTCATGATGGGGGTGGAGGTGAATGGGCAGACTTGATGATGGTCACAAAGTCCTGCAGTCGCTGAATCGACTTTCTGGTCGATTCTTCCGACTGCAGCATCTCCTTCCGGTTTGAAGTTTGAGCCTACAACAAAAGACTTCAGTCAATTAAGGAAAAAGACTGCAGAGTTGTGCTCCAACTTGGAGTATACATGCTACACGGGTGACTTCGCCTTATTAATTTATTGCTGAAAAGCAAGGTGCACTGTAGGAATCAAAGTGCAAAGTCAAGAATCATTTCACCTCGTTTTCATTAAATGCATACTGTGCTGAAAAATACTTCATACTGACTGTACATTTTAATCAAATCCATATTTAATGTGACAATGTAATAAGATAAGGTTCAATATAAGCTTCATGTAAAGTAGGAAGTATAATGGATTAATACAGACAAACATTAACTTCACTTGATAACTTCTAAAGCCGTGTATCAACTGCGCGCGGCTGCCGCGCGAGGCAATGTTCGTTGCTTTGCCTCGCAAAGTCGATACCATGTTGCCACGCGTGGCAGAACGAACACTGCCGCGCTCGAACTTGGCGCGCGTCGAGCCAAATCGGAGCGGTTCTTTGTCCCGCGGCAAAGGGATTTCAGCGTGCTGTGCTCTCTCAGTTGAGACGGTCTTGTGGCGTTCCGTCGTAGCAAAATGGAGAATGAAAAGTGTGTAGCTCTCATACAGATTTATAAATCTAAAGAGGTGTTGTGGAATTCAAAAATTGTTAATTACCATAACAAAAGTAAACTCTTGGCTCGATCAATGAGGTTATGTGTTCGAAATCCGATAATGACGTTCGAGTAAAATTTTTAACTGTATCCTCCACTAATTCAAATGTCATATCTCGCATAAGTCTATTTCCATATTGCATTCGCTGACGATACAATTCCTTAATCCACCAACGTACTTTTCGTTTCGGTTTCTTATTTTCTTCCATAATGTTGAACATCAACATAAAGGCAGCCGTTGCACGTGCTGTATTCATGGTGATCTTGCGAGAACTGACGAACAGTGTCAATCAACAGCCGAACACGGCTGCCGCGCTCGATGCTGGTAACCACGAACACGGTTTTAAACAATAAACGAACGAACGAGTTTGCAGCGCGCGTAGTCGATACACAGCTTAATGCAGCACCGAGATAATATAATTAGTTTCACAGATGAAATGTGTGAATGGATGCAAGTGGCCTCCCCATTCACTTAATGCATTCTGTGCAAATGAGTCCAAAAATTTGACAGCTTGTAGACTGAGATAAAATAACAACAAATGAAATGTTAAGGAATTTATAAATAAAATTAAAAAATGAGAGAACATAAAATCAGAGACAAAGGTAAATAAATGCCTCTACAGGCAAATGAAACACATGAAGTGGAAATATCTTAGAAAAAACAGATGTTTTGTTATTTTGAACTTCCATAAGACAAAAACTGGAGTTGCTTCTTCATACTCTTTCTGATGGTTCATGGCTTGCTGCCATTCTCCTTCTTCTTCTTTCAGTCTTGATTCTGAAATAAATATTGCCAGCAAACCGGCACCTGAATCCCACAACAAATCACATACAGTCAACAGAGATTCTGACAAAGGTCTGAATTTCCATTCTTAAGAGTATCAAAGTACAATAAAAATGAAACCTTGTTGATTCTGAACATTTTTCACACACAATCAGATGCACATTACTCCTATTAATAAAACACACACAACGCACTCACACAACGCACCGTGGTAAACAAACACCTGTCAAATTAGGAAATCCTACATCACGTGCAGTGACAGGCAAAATAATACAAAGCAGGCGTAATATTTACCGTGATGGCAGCACTGAGCTCAGCAGCCCTCTTCTCGAGCACGTCCTTCTCAAGTTTGAGCTCAGTGTTTTGTCTCAACAGCCTCTGCTTCTGCGCCTCCCGCTCTGAAGAACAGAAATATAAGATTAAAAAAGGAAACAATTACACGACAGGAAATTAGAAACTTTAATCTTTGCTCCAAACAATATAAATCCTGACATGTACATAAAATAAGGTGTTCAGGGCAGAATGCTTAAAGCCTACTTTATTGTTACACAGATACCCAGTACTACCATCTTCTGTTTCAATATCACATTTAAGTGAACACTAATTTATAACCTAACAGTGCAATTAATTGTTTGGCTCATGCATTAGTGTGGACTCATGTGCAGAGACATAAGAACATCATATAATTTAGTTCTTCCTAATAAAAACAATAACAAAGTATTACTGTTATTATAGAATGGTATGATAAGGTACAGAGTTTGTCCATGTTAAATTTGTTTCACAGAACATAAAAAATTTCCAGTATTACCATGTTTGCAATTCTCTGCACCATACAGAATTTTGAAGGCATTTTTATGATCTATCTCCATTCCAAATTTCACATACCTAGCTCCAATTAGTTATCACCATCACACCTAAAGCTAAATGTAGGTTTTGTGTAGCCGCCATGTTGTTTTACATTCTACAAAAAAAGAAAAGCTTTACAAAAGTTGCATATTTTTTTGAATAGCTATAATACATAACTTCAGGACTCTACAGAACTGACATACATGTCGCTCCCATCCTGTAATCCAGGTCATTATTACAGACTGTAGGACATGGTAGGTATAGGTTTGGGGTACCGCCCCCAGTAGCGTAACACTCGTACCAAATTTCACGACCAGTCAGTCAAAAATTGACAGACGAGACACACAGCATAATGATCTGAGGCTACGATTTTTCCGTATGGAATGAAAAATAGACCAAGAATAGCAAAATGGTACACACAGGATACAAAGTCCTGACACATCCCATAATTTAAGTCTGAACCCATACAAGTCTTTTATTCCTGTGATAAAAAAAATTGAATTTATCCATGGTTTTCCTCAGTTCTGGAAAGATTCTGGGATAGATACTCTCTTTCCTTCCATATTCTTCCTTAAATTCAACATTGCGTAGCCTACACAGTTGAAATGTGGCTTTTGACAGAAGTTAAACAACTGTAAGTATTTCATAATAGTAAACACTTAAATAATAGTTTTGCAGAATGAATGAGAGACTAGTAGCCCTCGGTGGACTAGAGGTTAGCATGCTCATCACTAGACCCAAGGTTTGCAGGCTTAAACCTGGCCAAAGTCTACGGATTTTTTAAGGGTGATAAGATCCGTAGCGCAACTTCCTTCAGAGGGGAAGTAAAGCCGTCGGTCTCATTTCGTAGATTTATGGCATGTAAAAGAACCTTATGAGCATGAACGAGATGTTCCGTAATCAAAATTCAGCAGCCATTTCTCACCCAAGTCTCTGCTGATTCACTGATAGATGGCTCTAGCAGACAAATAAGGATAGAGTAGAAATTGTGCAGAGGCAGTGGGCCGGTCACTCACTACTTATAAATGCACACTTCAAAGACTAGTAAGAACAAGTTGCCTTGAGTAACTGTCCTGGAATGGACCAACAGCCCAATCCTTGAAAGCAGATCAATGAGAGACCAAATGGAAATCCAAGAAATAACAACTTTATTTGGAAGGACGTATCATCATCAATGTTTTGGCAGTGGAGGAAGTTCCTGCCCTTGAACTAGAACTGAAAAGTGGTGCAGGGATGAAAACTTTTAATTTAGCTTCAGCAGTAGCCACTTACTTCAGGCACACAAAACAATGTGTTTTCCAGCGGTAATGCAACTACTCCACATGAAAACTGTGTTGTGGGTGAACTGCGTCATCATTTCAGTGAGCGAGTTGGGGGTGGGAGGTTTGATCTTAGACATGCTTTCTGAAAACATTATCCTTGGTCTAACAAACATGAACTGAAGTTGATGAAGGCTGTCTCTTTTCTTCAGTCTCTCATTTCAGAGTTATCAACCCTACGTGCGACCCTTGTACGAAAAATCTGATCAAGTGTACAACACCAAGACTTGAGGAGATGAATGGGGTCTACACTGCAGTCCAAGCCAGAAGAGCATGAGAAGTAGCCCAGTGGATTTGTCGCAAAAAGTAAGACTATTCCAATAAATAAGAGCAGATGCTGACGCAGGCTGCCCCTTCAGTTTCTGCGTTCTCTCTCTTTTTCTCTTTCAATTTAACAGACAACAGCCGCAGCCACTGCACAAGTACTCCACTCAAAACAGCATTTTCAGCACGATGGTTGTCACAAAATTGCTACAATCAATAACTTTTAAACTTAAAAGACAAATTTAAATCTGACTGCCACTTCAGAAAAACTGATATGGCTTACGAATGAGATTTTATTTATCTTTTATGTCCTTAAGTCAGGAGCAGCTAATACATGCATGTGGCTTATATTCGTGTATAAATAGAGTAACACGTATTTTAAACGTACAGAAAAAGGAAGATGCAAAGTGTCAGTCTGATGAAACAAGACCACACAGCATCACCACCTGAGAACAAACAAAGAAGCATTTACTAATCATCACCATGATCATAAAAGCCAGTTTCAGATTCACCTTCAATGTTGCTGACCGAGCTATCACGCTTCATACTGCACTGAGGACATTGGCCATCAACTGCACAGCTAATGTGGTGCTCTGCACTGCAAATGCTGCACACTTGTAACACGCCTGGTGCACAGAAAGAGATAAATTAGCAATACAGAGGCATGCAAAATTTCCACCACTACAGATATACAACAAAAAACATGTCTCAAATAAACTCAAAATTCTGTGCCAGTATAAAATTTGCAAACAAACAATGTGCATGCATGCACACGCAGACTTAACGCAAAATTTGTATGACTGTGAACATTCTATCACTGCACATTTCACATCAGGTACCTCAACCAGAACAATTCTGAAGACGACCATCTTCTGGGTTGTTGCGCTGTATAGTCGTGTATAAGTTTAGGACGTTTCAGAGGTGCTTGCTCCTCCATAAACAACCCAGAACATGGTCACTTTCATACGTGCCACTGTAAGAACCAACAATCTCACTCAGTAATCTTGTTCTGTGTTTGACAAGTATCCAGTTCAACTCCCATCCAGGGAACCGGTTATCATGGCTGAGGTTATTACTATCCTCCCAAGTCCTTCCATGCAAAAGCCAGAAACAAGATACAACCACTTGTTCTCCAGTTCTCCGAACACAGGATGTACCACAACTGGTCTGCCATAAACCAGAAAGTGATTTGGGATGTAATTTTGGTAAAAAATGTTAATACAATACCAGTCGAACGCCCAACCACTGTAGAGGTAGGGCAGTTCCAAGTTGGGCACAGGAAAGAATAAACAAGAGGATTAATAAAAAACTCTCTTATTACATTTTATGACATACATCTTATAACCGTTCAAAATGTTTGCCACAGTTTTCAACGCACAGCCTTGCTCATGCCAAACAAGAGTTTACTGCCCACTGAATCATTCAGCTGAAACATCCTCAACTGAATGCCAACCCTGGAGGCAGTTTCAGTTCAGGATGTTAGAACACACAAGAAGACGATCACATTACACAAAAGCAGGCATTGTTCGCACATCTTATAATATCCATAGCTCCACAATGGCTGCATTAACACTCATTATACAAAATTATCTCCCAAATCAACCCTGTGTATGGCAAATAACTTGTGAGACACCCTACATGATCATTCTCTCATCTCACTTCACAATATATAACCAGCGCAACTAATATATCACAGATAAATAACTTACAAACCAAGGAACAATAAACTGTTCATAATAAATTATTATCAAATGGAAGAACAAGGTACAGACTATACACGATGGCTCTCACGACAGAACCTCCGTTTCACTATAGATAATACAAAATAAAAAGTGGAAATCAGGGGAAACTTCCAATGGACTTTTATGAACAAAAATCTAGCAATGGGTTCAAAGAGCAAACTCAGACAAAGAGACATGTTAGTACCACTATATATAAAAAGAGAAGTAAGCTACAACAGGGTTTATTCTGTGACTGCACTAGTAATAAGTGTGAACACTTCATTCAGTTACTTAGCTTTACGTTTACAAGATTATCATTTTACATTACTATGACAATAAATATTCCTCGCAAGAAAATGGATGAACACATGTCCCTCTTCCCAATACTGCTTGCAACAGATCCTTGGGAAGATGACAGGTGTTCAGTTGGTCCAGAAATTAGCCAACCATCTTTCATGGAAGCTAAACGTTCCACACCATGCCCATACGGCTGATACTCATCTCTTGGATCACTTGTTGTGGGGGCAGACTCACCTGGCTTCCTGCAAATGACACACACATCTGTCTGTATCCTCTCTATTGTGAGCGACGCTGGCAATCCAGGAATACGCAGCGAGAGCGATCCCGATGCAGAGGACACAGCAGTCTGCGGCGATGCTGTCTTATGATGGGCGCCCCCACTGCTCTCCTGCGCGGAAGACGACGGAGGCTTCTCTTCACGATGAGACTCCGCTCTCAGACTGCGGGTGAGCTGGCGTGTAAGGGGTGGCACCCCTGCTGTGAGGTAGTTGTTCTTCTTGCGCTTCTAAAATCAGAGTGTGGTAAGAGCAACACATACTGGGCTCCTCAAACTATGATTTAAGGCCTAAACCAATGACACAAAGAACATGTGCAAGATAAGATGCTATTTGTGTAATAACCTTACAATTCTAAAAAAAAATTAAAATTATTTAAATAACCAGTCAACATATAACAACAACAAAACTGCACTGGCCCAGTGTTACAAGAAACCCACATTCTGTTATCATGGCTGCCACAATGCTGGAAGACAAAATTTATTTATGATTTACCATACAACATTCTTAGCAGCTTAGGCTATGCATGATGTTGAATAAATGAATAATAAATTTCAACGGATATGGAGGAAAATGGACATGGCTTAATTTAAGATACTATTCCATTACATGCCAAGAGAGATAGAGAAATCATAAAATTCAGTCAGTATAGTTGGTCTCTAGGCCAAACGGTGAACTCAAAACCACCCAAATTAACCACCTGACAGCATTGTATTGGTGATAAAAACAAAACTTTAATAAAAAAGCTGAATGTTGAAAAAATGTCAATCAATGAAGAGAAATTAAATTTCAAGTCATTGATGACTCATGTGTAAACTGAATGACGCAGTTTCCACTGTGAAACACATAAGTATACAGTGTGATGACAAGTAAAACATAATTCATTATAACATACTGATTGTAACACAAACAAGGCCAAAAAAAAGATCCATAATTATTGTTTTATAATTACTATAAAAGAATAAATACACATAAGTTGGGCCTTAGGGAGATAGGAATCAATGGAGCAAACTTGGGAGTTGGTTTCTGCAGCTGTCAGCAAGCAAGCACATTATGACTTTCTGAAGCTATGGTTCAGTGAGTTAGAAAGTTTCTGCAACTCAAACTCATCCACTTTCCAATATTTCAAATAATAAAGAAACAAATGTGTAAAATAATCTGTCAGCCTGGTCATTTTGAAATTCCAGTATAGGGTAGAATGATTTATCCTCAAAAGTTTATATTTCATTCAAAAATTAGAGTTTAAAAGCTGGACTGATTACTCGACAAATTATCTCAATTTTCTGCACTTCACTGTATTTAAATGCCAATTTAATCTGGCAGCGAAGCTAAACACTCAATTAACAGCCTGTCACTGAACGGCTGATCAAAGTGAATTGTACTGAAATTCAACACCAAAAAATATTTTAATATCGGGTGAATGACTTTTCAGTCATTCCGGATATAACGATCGTGGTGCCACATTCAATCCCCGCCCAGCTTCTTAAAGCCAAGAACATATTAGCTCCAGCTTCACAGTTATCAATTCATGTCAACCTTCCAACATTCAATCTGAATGTCATTACTCAGCCATGTGACACAAATTTAAGAGTGCCCTTGCAGAACTCATTAATGTACAGGTAAACCTCAATTTGCACCGATTCAGAATATCTGTGCTAACAGAGTCGTGAAGAGGTATTTTTACGTTTTATACGACGAGAGATATCCTTGCAAAACAATGGCGAAATCCATTTTGTTAGGTCATAGATAAAAGAGACTTTGAAGCCAGTCTCGAAACTTGGTTTAAAATGGCTTTAGAGAGCGTGTAGCATGCATACTTTAAGATAAAATGGCTTATTGTTATGTTTTGGTGGATGAAAATGTTTCAGTTGATGAGTCATTTGCGTTCAGCCTGATAAGAGAGCAAGGAAAAATGCGCTCAGTTCGCTTCTTGTTGACACATTGAATGTGCTGTTTGTGTTGTTCGACCACTATTCTGCAGTAGCAACTGTTTTATATTTATAAATTGTAGAAGAGCCACCATGTCCGGTAAGAGAAGTGAATGTGTTGCTAAAAAGTTGCGTAGGTTTATTGCGTTAGAAGATAAGATGGACGTAATTTGTAGAATAGAAGGTGGTGAAACCCGTCGTAATGTATGCAGAAGTATGAAGTTGCCTCCTTCGAAAGTGACTACCATAATGAAAAATTCATATAAAATAAAACAGTCTATGCAACAGGCTACGAGAGTTAAGTGCAACGCAAGCGAGTTATAGCAGAAGTAAACTTTTAGAAAGAATGGAGAAATTACTGTAGCTATGGGTGGATGACATGAATCAAAAAAACATTCCCTTGACTGATATTGCTATCACGGATAAGGCGAAGTCAATTTTTGAGGAACTTAAGTTGTCAATGTTTGGGTGCCGGGAACGCACGTCATCGACTTCCCATTGATTTACATTATAAAAAGAGTTTCAATTTACGCCGGTTAGTCCAGGAACGCATCCCCGGCATAAATCGAGGTTTACCTGTAATATATAACATGTTCACACAACTTCAAATGGTCAGGACTAGGTGGCAGCACCAAGCAGACCAATAAAAATGTGTTTTCATACCTCAGGGAGCAAAGTTGAATGTCACACTGAAAGGAAAAGATCACTTCTCAACTTGGACTAAAGCAAATGTCTGTCTACACAGCAATGGATGATTGTTCGGCTTCAGTCAAATACAGGACCAATAGGTTGACAATGTTTTGGGAAAAGAGACTTTTCTCGGGAGGCAGTAACCAGTCTGTAAATTATTTTTTTGAGGATTCCACCAGAACATGTTTACTTCTCACTAAATCATCGCTTCTTTTACAATTATGTTTAGGATCAATAACACTCCAACTGGGCCAAAAACCAAACTTGTAGTCTTTCTACTCTCTTACAAACAAAGAAATATTGTATTCTTAAATTTGAAGAACAGTAACCTTGCATTCCATTATCATGGGTACAGTTCATCCTCGGGATCGTAATATTGTACTATCGACGTATTTGATTTGTGTTAGCCGTTGCTTTTCAGAATGTGCCCATTATCTCCCTCGCTCCTCCAGTGGTTAAGTAGTTATTGCCATCAAATCAAAAGCCATTTCAAGCAGTCGCCATTCTGTCATCTCACATACTAACCCCCCTCCACAAAACTGCATTTTTCTGTCTGTTACCATACATATTTCAGAACCACGCATTTAAAAGACACTAGTCCTACTCCCACCAAACAGTTCATGTGCCTGCCATGTTATTCCTACAAATTGTAGTGAACGAACATGTACGTGATTCGGACGGCCTCCCAAAACATAATGTTTATACAACATTTTGTGAAAATCAGTGAAGTTGTTCAAAATTGAGAATTGGAAACACACAATCAGCGAAATACAAACAAACACATGCACAGACAGAATGATGACCTAATAAGCCCAAACTTATTTTTAAGGTAAGTAGAGTAACAAATCAGGTATGAATATGCAAACGGATCAGCTGTGAACAGTCATCTAACCACTATGCACAAATGTATCAGAAAGAGCTAGTTCTGAGGTACAGACATCCCAACTTACCGACACATCCCACAAACTGCCATATACAAACTGCGTGTGATTAGCGGTGCTGCGCCTCTTCCTTTCCACTCGGCGGTTCTGCAACTCGGACAGAACCTCTCGAGTCACCAAACCTGGAACATGCGAGCAATGAACTGGAAAACAATGAGGGGGCACAAGATTCATTCTCTCTCGCACGCACGCTTACTCCCAATAAAAAGTCTTCAATTTGAATGCAAGAAACCCTCATGTAGTTGCCAACATGATGTTGAGAGGAAACACTTACCAACTGCACTCATGAACTGCAGCTTTGTGGCCAAACTTGGATCTCCCCCCGTGCTATCGCAGCACTTGGGCACAACCTCATCACACACTCTCTGTGAGTCATCCAAGTCTTCAGATGCTGTTGAGGAGCTGGATGACACTGATGAAGAACGCACAGGTCTGCAACGGGACAGTCACATGCAAGCTCAAGGAAACCAGTTATCTCTGCCATGTCTATCCACCTGCCGGCATTCTTAGCCCAATTTTAGTGGCGTGGGAGCAGCAGAGGTGGCAGTGCACCACAGCGCAAAACAACTGTACTTATACATTTTATAAGAAAACAACACTACATGAAAATAACAAACATAGGAAAAGCATCAAAGTTTGATGTCAGGCGAAACAATTTCCAAGTAATGGAAGTGGCAACCGTCTACAGAGCCGATCATTCTACCAAAAACTCACAGAATTCTCTATAAATTCAGACTCACTAAATATAAACCACTCACAAGCAGGAGTTCTTCTCCAGGCTCTTCGCATTGCTACAGATTCCCAAGGACAGGGCCACACTCTTCACATTAAGCGTACTGTTGGTTGAATTAGCTTCCAGCTCCTTCCTCAGCTGCTGAACAAGCCGCTTCTACAACACAAACCAACGCCTAATATTTCAACAGCAATTCGCACATAAAGCTGCATCTATAAACAAGCAACACATTCCTAACCTTATTGCTGGAATTAAATACAGCTTTACGTTATAACCAATACCCCATACGTATTATACAAACTCCAATTGTGTGTGTGGTGGACACAGAAATATTCCATTGCATTGGGAACCAAACCTGGCTGATCTTCCACAGCTCAATCATGTGCCCCCTTACATCTGCTAATTTCCAAACTCTGAAGAGAAAAGTCTGATTAAAATTTAAAAAAGTATATTTGTGTGTTTCTGTATTTGCATGTGTGTGCACACGTGTCAGACTTTCATACATGATACAATTATTATGATGACAGAGACTTCTGCTTACGGAAACTCTAAAGAAAAAAGTTTAAAGACTGAATTCTCACAAAACAGAAAAATCAAAGGAAATTTCCTCAATTTAACAAAACACAAATGTGAAGCCGTCTTCATGCCTAAGCGCCACATCCTCAAGGCATACATGGGAGTGGGTGGAAAGCTCTAAGCAAGAGATTCATTAGATGAAGACAAGCTCCATGTTCTGGATGCTTTACCCCTCGGTGAGTGAACAGTATCCACCGGATGCCATACATAGGCGGGGGAGGGGGGAATAAAATGTATGTTCATCATTAACTTATGCACTAGGAGGTGAGTAAGTCGGATTCATGCTCCAGATGCTTTATCCCTGGGGAAACTATTCCCAAAAACTCCAAAACCTGTTGGACAGGTTGAATGGACTCCACAGCCGGCCTGGATATTGTGGTCAAGACAAAAATCTTGCCCCTGTTGAGAATAAAACCCCAATAGGGAGGTCTTGCACACTCACTATCACATGAAAAATTAATGAACCAACTACAAATTCCCTGTCTGTGTAATCTGGTTCATAAATTCACAACTTAATATTCAAAGATGAATTTAACCTTATCATCCCATTAACATCTTCGTAAAATGGTTCTTCCGGTTTGTCTTCAGGTTTGGCACAGCATGCACAATACCTCAATAGTTCCGCAGTCAAAGAAATAACTCACAGGCTGGGATATTGTGATTTAAGGTGACGCACTTGGGTCTTCAATAGCCCAGGATTTCCAGCACATACAGGACAAAGGGTTGGGTGAAATTTGTAAAGTTCCTCCTACCTCTAGGGGTCCAACTTCCACTAGAGAAGAAAGCAGGGTCACGAGCTTTCTAACTCAAACTCACCTGGCTCTCTCCTAGCAGCAAAATGTGCTTCTGCATGCCTAAAAGCTGCTTCTTCATCTGGGTGTTCTGAAACACGTAACAAGCCAGGTTCGGACCAGAACAGAGCAATGTAACCCATGTATCAACATTACACATCCACACAACTTGTAAAGTATTAAATATGTATGCATCAAACATAATACAGCAGAACTGCGATTATCTGCACTAATGAAAGGGAGAGGACGCATGAATAATAAAAAACACAAAAAATCCAAAATATTTTGTTTCGTTCATTCACCTAACCTATACATTTTTACACTACTAATGTGTATTTTGAGGAACAGGTCGTAATGGTCGCTTGCATTTGTCTGAACTGTTCAGACTCCTCACAGCTCCTCCTGGCAGCTGCAATGTCACTGTACTGATGTCTGAACTGTTCAGACTCCTCACAGCGGTAGGAGTTTTCCTGGCGGCTGCAATGTCACTGTACTGGAACCCTGTCTGACCCACGTAGCCTAGTAAAGTGTCAACACGATGCAGTGCCATGCTGTGGCTGAAACCTTATTCAAGCACATTCCCTCCCCTCCCCTCCTCAACCCTCTTCTTCTCCCTTCAGTTTCACAACAGCACTGACAAAGTCTGTTTGTCCCATGCTGAAAGCCCAGTTCACACACATCACTCAGCAGCCATTCTTTTATTGATGCTTTAAAAACTCATAGAACACACAATGACAAGAATTTCAGGCTCGATTTCATCATCAGAAAAACTTTGCTATCACCAGCTTCCAGATCTGGAAGATCACCGTGACCAAAATATGCCATAGCATCAAACAATACAATTTCTTTTCAGAATCCTATTATGTCATCTTCATCTGCAATAATTCTGAGAAGGTAATGGTTGATTCGTGGATGCAATCGCTCAATCCCTATACCACAATCTTCGGCAATTTTGTTGACGATTCTCAACTTTCTAATTAACCTGAGCTATTGTTTGATTGTCTGTACCACTTTATTATGTATTTGAGCCATCTTACGTAGGATCCACATTTGTTAACTTTCACCTAAAACACAGTACAACAAAATGGAATTTACTCTAAAACACCTAACATTTTAAAAAGACCAAGAAAGCAGTTGTACCATCCCCTCTATCTGCCGCCAAGACCACATCAAAAACCCCATCATATACACACACCAACCGTAAAGCATAAAAAAAAGTATTGTTCAATCACAACTTCCACAGCCCTCACCACCAACAGTACAACACAGGAAGATTTTAAAAGGCTAGCTTCCACATGTCCGCATTTATTTCAAAAGAGTAGTACACAATCGCCTGCACAAGGTAATCGGGAGTTAACTGTATTCACAAATGCCAAATTTAAATGACAATAACATTTGATAAGACAAACTTGGAAATGTTACATGGCAGAAGCAAACAGCGTGGCACTGCAAAACGCAGGCCGCAGCCTACCCACGCACAAAACCTACACTCGGTACGTGAAAGCAGATTGTGTCAGGCAGCAGGACACTACCAAAAATGCCTGCAACTGGGAGAATCAGTGACAGAAACAGTGCACACACTTTGGATGACGTATGGTGACCAAACGATGTCCCAGCCAAGTTGGTAAACATCTACCAGACTACACAGCGCAACAACCCAGAAGACGGAAATCTTCATACTCACCGCTGTGAGAACCTCAAGTCTTACATCTTCATATTCGTCACATTGAGAACCTGAAGTCTTATCCTTAGCGCCATTATCCTGGTGTTTTGTCGTGGAGTAAGGCGTTATTCATCACAGAATCGTCTCTCGTCCCTTCTTAGTATTGTGGAAACGTATTTCACCCGATGAATCACACAACGGTATACGGTGTAGTTACTCGGCATGCCACCTGAATGCTGACAGCACTGAATAGCTCGTATTTATTTTAATTGAAAGCTACTGCCACGTATTAACAAGTCATGTCTCACCGGAGTTGACAGTTATGCATTGGCAGAGACATGCTTCATACCTTTATCGAAATCACTCATACGAAACCCAAATTTCTCTTAATATTTTTTTAACATTGAAGTTTTCGATGGCATAAAGAGGTGTTCATAGTTTACTCATTGGGATGAAAGTAATAAATGTTGCTTTAATAACAGTATTTTTAAACATGTCTCTGTATTTTGAATTTGTAAATTAAAAGTTTTAGTTGCGTATTAAAATAAGTAATTTTAAAGTTAAATTGTATTACTGGAAGCTACTTGGCATGAAACGACAAACGGCTGTGTTGTCGTCAGCCTCGGGTTGTCGACTAGCTCCTATGCGATGAAATGGAAGTACATAACTTTCCCATACAATTTCAATCAATTATGTTATTCCAAGTGTTTGTTTTTCTTGTGATGCGTACTTCATAGCTAGTTAAAACACGTTCAAAAGCCAGTCGTTCTTTACTTCCAGGCATCTAATCTATATTATTATATTATTTTAGTGTTCTGTCTGACGACAGGTACGTATGAACAGGATCCTTCCCTCCTTTTCTCGGACTGGGACCTGTTCATATACGTTCTTGGCAGATGATCCAGAAGTGGTTTGCCATTGCCTTCTTCTGTGTGTGAATGGAGTAATTGTTGGGTTGCCACGGAGGAAAACTCCATGTTGCCTAGACCACGGCCTTGCCCAACACAAGTTATAAATTCGGGCACCGCCGGGAATTGAACCTGAGACTCCAGGATTACAAGGCCAGCGTTCTAACCGCTAGACCACCGTGGCTTGGTGGTAGATACTAAAAATTAATGTCAAATATTACTGGATACCGCTTTAAATAACAGCACGTCTGGAGACAATGGCAGCACAAAAATGTAATTCCTGTTGATAAGTCTATACCCTCTGTTCCAACACGTGGTCATGCATGAGAATCAAATCACACACTTAAATACAAAAACAACCCTCAATTACAACATTCATAGTTACAGAAAATTTAAACATCAGCATATGTCATTAAATCCACATAAAGCATCTCCACACGTGGAAATTTCAGACCACAGACCTTCTCAAATTAAATATAACATTATTTTTAGCATATATAAGCAATTGTTATATCTCAAAAGCAGTATTTTCTTCCATCCTCAATATTAAATTTTTCCAATTAGGCTGCATATGAATACGGTCTTTATCTTAATCCCGTGGCAACGGCATGCAGTTCAAGTCCATAAGCATTCCCTGTTCCATCCTGATGGCTGCAGGGTTATGCTTGAACACCACACATTTGTTTATCCCACCTTGGGATCTTTTATACTAACTTGAGAAAATGCAAATGCCCCGCTGCAAGGAAATGATGTGTGAGGTCACTTACCGAAGGGTCATCCCTCAATTTCAGCACCACAAACTGCAAAACATGAGAGAATTACTTTTCAACATTGGAATATAATGTTCCAGTTCATACTCAATCAAAAACACAATGTTATACACTAAACATCAATGCATTCTTTGGGATAAGTGGATCTGCAGCTGTCCAGCATCAAGGGATTACTACATTTTTACAAATGTCACTCATTACACAAAACGAGCTCATGACAGTAAGTATTTATAATATCTAAAAATACGTCATCACACCTTGCAGAATTATTGAATAAAATAAAAATTAAAACCTACATTCTTCTCTTTCTAATAAAATAATGTGGTGATGCTGAATGGGGGAATTCTGAATTTTGGTGTGGATATTCTTTAAAAGTGGCCACTAGGTTGAGACAAAATTTCAATAAACACAAAATCAATTCAATTAAAAAAACCAACACTAACAAAAAATATATTCAATTATAAAAATCCACCCTTCTGTAGTTTTATCTGGAAAGTGCCATTTTCAAAACAGTCAAGTACATGATTATAGAAAACGAAATTCTGAAGTCGAAGAACAGTATGGAAGTACAAATTGTCAATACTAATTGGGTCAACCCAATCATCTCATAGTGCACCAGTTACTTCATTTAAAAATTATTGATCGACATAACAACGCTAAAATCTCAGAGAAATGTATTCACATAAAGATTTGGTAACCTAATGAAGTAAAAACCATACTAGTAAAAATTAAACACAATAACAATTCAAGACTCCTACAAATAAGAGTCTTTTAAGGATAAGCAAATGACGCATAAAAGTGACAATACTATTTGTGGATGTCACAACAGTTTTAATACTGTCGTGCATACCAAGGGATTATTACGTGTTATGGGGCGATAGGGTTCAAATTACAGTAAACCATTATCAATGTGAAAAGAGCGAAAACATCAACCAAAATGCATTTGTAATTTTATTTTGCTTAATAAACATATCACGACACAAAATATGTGCGAGATCGTTGTCTACGTGTTTCGGGAGATGATATGACTACAAGCACTTCTTTTACAACTTCAGGGATCATACGACTGACCTTGGCGACCGGCATACTTGTTGGAATTGTTTGGGTTCGACAAAGTTTCTTCTACGAAATCAATACCAATGCAATGCAGAAACTTAAGTCTGGATACTTCAATATCATATGCACCACGCTGACGTAGTTATTCAATCACGACGTTCACGCCTGGCCAAGTTTATGATTTCAAACGAAATGTTCCCTTTTAACAACTATTCTCATTCTGAACACTTCAAAATTATGTTAATAGTGAAAATCATGCAACGATTAACTTTGTTCAAAATACATGTCTCACGTATAAAAATAACATGGAATGTACCCGCAAAACAAAGTTCATATTTGTAACAAATGGATCCTCCCTGTTAGCAAAAAAATATAACATTATTAGAGAATAAACGTCTCGGAGGAAAGATCATGCAAGTATTAATCATATCAGCACCGTATTTACATCTTATATAGCCGTAATATCTTACAAATAACAGCATGTCTGATACGGGATTTCCGAAAAGTTTTGTGATCAATTATCTCAAAGTATCAATAAAAGTAGAACTTGCTCAGGAGTGTTTAGCAAGTGCGCCTGTGCTTATGACTTGAGGAAAAGTGCCGAGAGCGTAACCAAAAATGTTGAAAAGTTTGTACTTGCCTGATGATTTCGGATGGCAGTTTTTAGTTGGTTCTGAATGTTTCTAATGTCTACTTGAAGCGATTTAGACACTTCCATGGCACAATTTTTATTCTTCTCTTATTCACACACGCAATTTGGAATCAACTTTTGGCGGCGATACCGAACAACCTGGCTCGGTGCTTTCTGAAGGTGGCAGTGGTAGTCTCATCTGTGGTGTTGGTTTCAATAGCACAGATTACTGTAGTATGAAAAGTAAAAGCAAATACCAAGCAGGGCTTCATTCTTGCGCTGGCGTAGTTTTCAATTTGTACACATACCGATCTCAGAAGTTTTCAGGCCTGTAAGAGGTAATAACATAATTGACGATTCTAAATAAATTTACATAACAACCTAATGATTACGAATATTTGTCAGTATGATAAAAGAACTACATTTTATAGGATATCAATACACAAGTGCTTAGGCGGTAGTACGTCAGAATAGATTGCTGAAAATGTCGAATAGAAAGTTGGCGGAAACCGAATGAATGGAGAGCAAAGTTGTTATCAAGTGCTTCAAACTGTGATAATATTCTGATTACATATTGACTTAATATATTTATTGATTCAGGGCAAAACATTTACGAATCATATACCGTCTTTAGAGTTGAGTGATACGTTGCATAATATACTGCGTCTTTAACCTTCCTGATTCTAACCAATAAATATGCAGTTTTAATTTTGTTTTGGTATCTTTTGTACTAAGTGTCTATGGTCATACTATCGCATGTTTCACATCCATGGCTTGTGCTATAAAGGATCTGTGGAATGTAAATAAAGTTTAGTTTTAAAACATGCCACTATTTTTAAGGTGGTACAGATTTTAAGTAACTAGAGCAGAGCGCTCCTTTCGGAGCTCCTCGGGGGGTTGGTCAAGTTTTTAAAACGCAACCAACCCCCCATCATCCTTCGGGGGGGGGGTAGTTTAGTGTCTCATTCAAGTGTTTTAACCCTTGAGTAAGAAACTAAACCCCCACCCCAAATGGGGGTTAAAACACTTGACCACTTGGTCAAGTGTTTGAAACGCCAACAGTTCTTGTTCAGTCAACTTTTTACGTCCAGCCCCACCCTTGCAAATCTTCGTCTTAAAATCGATCATAAAGTCAGTTTTCATAATAGTTTTCGTAATCGTAATATATCGAATGAGTATCAGTTTACATTGTTTCTTTCACTTTTCTTCATTTCTTAAATAGTTTTATGTCGCTGTTCGGAGGCGATGTGCTGCTTCTGGAGCAGTAATAATGCGACTGGCTTGGTAGTTGTTTATTTATTATGTTATTTGTTTACTTGGCATTGTTGTGTTGTTATACCAACACAATAATGCTGAGTAAACAAATATCTGTTGACGTTGATGATGTCATTTCTTGAAGACAATGACTAATCACAAATTTTTATAGTAGACATGTTCGTAGTAATTAGTGGAGAGTAACAATTCAATCTGGTATGATTGCTGAACATAGATCTTCTGTTATTTTGGAGTTTATACAGCAAAGTTTTGTGTGTGCATGCTTACCCATACTGAGTTTAAGCTAATGTACCTTGTTTCTAATTTCAAATATACCAGCACCAACTAAACAGTAATACTTTAGCCATCATTACATACGGTACCATTGTTTATTCCTATATCTTGTAGATTTTACAATGGCAAAACGGATTGCAACGTCAGAGTTAAACCATGAGAATTGGAATGAAGAGGACAAACCGGAAGAAGCAGGGACATTCCGTAAAGCTACACCTGATGTCATACAACATCGTGTAATCAAATCAGCCAAACGGAGATCTGTTGGTACTCCAGAAGATGTGAGTATACCCCCCCGTCCCCCACTAATGTATACATGCAAAACGATGTGTGGATTCCGTCTTTAATGAATGAAAAATGTTTACACCTTTTAATACCAATCCTGTCCCATACAGTTAATTATTTTTCTAGTTACAGTTTACTCATTCCATTGAAATTAATCAGTATGGAACTATTTGGTTCATTGATTGATCTCGAATTTTCTTATGTATGTAGTGTTGTTGGGGTGAATCTGTACTCTGCTGTGCTGACAGGTTTCTTATGATATTTCCTGTTCCTTGAGGCATGTGCCAGGATAGTACTGAAAATTAGGCCATATCACTTCCTTCTATATCCTTTCATTGTTCATTAGTTATCATTATATTTTGAGCTACTGTTAGCATCATTAAATAAACCATTAATCAAGTTTAGAAGTTTATACAGTTGTATTTCAGGGTATTAAATTATATATCTAGTGACTGGCTACAGACTGGGCGACCGGGGTTCGATCTCTGACGGGGGCAGAGGATCTTTCCTCTAGCCTCTGCGTCCAGACCGGTTCTGGGGCCCTTCCAGCCTCCTATCCAATGGTTACCGGGGTCCTTTCCTGGGGGTAAAGCGGGGCCGGGGCGTGATGGTGACCACTCACCCCTGTCTAGTGCTGAGGTCAAGAATGAGTAGGAGCTATACACCTCTCCTCCCAAGCGCCTACATGGCGCATGGCGGGACAACTTTACTTTTTTTACTTTTATGTGTATATATATTTATACATTATACAATTCTGATGAACTGGCATTGCTTTTTCCTGTTTTCCTATAGAGAGAAAGTAGGCTTTTACTACGCTGTTTCTACTTTAAGCGGTTGACCAGATATGGTATAAACATCATGCCACTGGAGCCAGAAGTATGAAAGTTAACAAGCATGGCCATGGTAAACAGTGAGGTTTCTTCCAACAAATGTAATGTAGACTAAATTTTTATCAACAGTCTCTGTAACACATTTACAATTGCAAACAACGAACTGTTGACTTAAGTAGGATTCGGTTCTGTCACCATCAGCGCACAAATCCACCCAGATAAACCATGAGCTGTATTTTTTATTGTTGAATTTTAACTTGTGTTACCTAAATATGATGTTAACAGTACTAGATCTGTAGTTCTGGAAATCTTAGCAATAGAAAAGTAGGCCTTGTGAGTCTGCCCAGAACTCCGTGTTCACTTGTACAATTACGCAGTTTATTAACTACATTGAGCACAGTCCTTTCTGAGAAGTTACAGTTCATTAGTGACTCGAAATTCCTCAACTTTTATAGGACCCTTATGTTCATTGCCATCTTCACAAGAGCCTGCCACTGTGTACCATTGTAAAATTATACTTGTCTTAAAAAAAATATAAGTCTTTACTCCAGTGGCAACATTCCATATGCATGCTGTCACAATTTTATATGACCATTCTAATATATGTGGTCGCCCTCGGTGGACTAGCGGTTAGTTTGCGGGTTCAGACCCGGCCGAGGTCGATGGACTTTTAAGGGTGACAAAAATCCTTAGCACAACTTCCTTCGGAGGGAAAGTAAAGCCGTCGGTCCCATGTCATAGATTTACAGCATGTAATAGAACCTTACGAGCATGAACGAGATGTTTTGTAAGCAGAATTCAGCGGCCATTTCTCAGCCAAGTCTCTCCTGATTCACTCCTAGATGGGTCTAGCAGACAAATCAGGATTGAGTAGAAATTGTGCAGAGGAAGTTGGCTGGCCGCTCACAAATGAACACATCAAAAGACAAAGAAACCTCCCAAATGTGAGGAGGCCAAGACTCGGCTTCGGGCTAAGCCCAATTCCTTAAATGTAGTTAAATGGGAGTGGGGTTGTAGTCATATTCTTGTTGTATCAGTTTGGACGAATGCACTTCATTCATTGTACCTATGAATGCCACTAAATTTGCTACACTAGTGCATGTAACTAAAATTATGCAATATTTGGAGTTGTCGACTGTACTTCTGAGCTGCCCGTGTCAGTCCAGATCCGGCGAGTTATGTGGTCAAGCAAATAAGTCTTGATCTGATCTGTAGGGATGTCACTCAATGACCTGTGTAGCAAGATACTGAATTTTAAAAATTGTTTTTCATTCTCTCCTCCAGAATGGAGCAACAGTAAGCCCATTTGTTGCATTTGGTGGCTTTAAACCAACTTCCACCAATTCTGCTTCAGCCACATCAGCATTCAATTTCTTAAAAAACAGTAACAAACCGAGTGATACGTCAAATGGTTCGGCCAGTAAAGAAGTGAAAACGGGCTCCACGAGTGAGACTTCTGACACTAAGTCTCCACAGTACTACTCAAAGCTGAAGAGTCTGAATCAGTGCGTGTCACATTGGATAAAGTCACACGTCGACAGCAATCCATTCTGTATCCTCACCCCAATATTTAGAGACTATGAGCGTTTCCTGACAGAGATTGATCAGAAGGAGTCCAGTTGGCATCGTGAGGAAAAAGAAGCAGCTTCAGTGCAAAGGGAAGTGAAGTCACTGGAGAAGTCTGCTCTGACAACAGCCACAGGAGGCTCCGTGACTCCGAGGTGTGTATATCGCCATGCCATCATGGATGCACGTCAGGACTCCACCCCCATGTTAACTTCTGAATCAGTGGATGCAACATGAGGGAGTTCGTACTCCCCGCTAATGTTCATTCCTTGTAGATAGTTCATTAAGTGAATTTATGCTCATTTCATCCATGTGTCCATATTCTATATCTTGGAATGTTCGGAATAGATAAAGGGCACATTTAAATTTGGTTCATATCAGTCCGCTCAATGTAACTTCTATTTTCCTTAAAGCCGAGGTCCAACTTTATCAGCTTTCTCAAGAATAGCTCGTTATACAAAAATTTGGTATGTATAATACATTTTTGTGGACTTTATTGGGATTTTTAGATTTTATTTTAAAAAAAATTCAGTATGGTGAATACTTGAATAAAAATATTTTCTGACCGTGCATTGTGAGACCTGTAGTACAATTACCTTTGCAACAGTACATTTGTGTCCGCCGTAAATGCACTTGAAAAATTGTGTGTTTGTGTATTCTGAAGGAGTGAAAGGGGCAGAAATCCACTGTTGACTGACTGCCCAGTGATTAGATCAGAATACACGAAAGCAGCCAAATCACTGCTGTTGTAAACAGGATCTCCCTTTATACATTTCAAAAGTATTTACGAGTATGTAATACATTTTCTGTTTTGAAGTCATATGTTGCTCTAATAGTCTCATATGTGTAGCAATGCTGCCAAGCCTGCGGATGAAGGTGCTGCCGAGAGCCGAAAGCCAAGTCCATTCTCTACTACGGGTTGTGGGAGCAACAAGACAATTTTCAATTTTGGTTCCGGACCTTCCAGTCGTTCAAACTTGACAGCCGGTTTCACCTTTGGAAGGTACACTGCTGTTGCCAGTAGTGGATATAGTAATGATAAATATTCAATTAGGAAGCTAATAAGTAGTCCTGACAGTAGAATGCTCAAACCTTACGTAGGTATGCTGCTTATTTCCGTGGCTTCAAATCCGATACTGCTTTAATATCCACACAATGAATTTCACAGAATGTCTGATTGCTTGTGCCTTGATCTGAGCTATGCTGAGTAAATATTTAAGTTTCATACTTCCAGTTCTCAACCATTCACATTCCAATTTCTGACGAATCCTGACAAGGATGTCACACATGAAGAAAACGCTGACGATCAACCGCCTAAGGTAGAATTCACGCCTGTAGTGGAGGAGGGTGCCATCTACTCAAAGAGGTACATCTTAGTAATCTCCCATAATTTTGATTCCATGCTTTCTAATCTTATTTCAGTTTTATGTGCCTTTAATGTTGTGCCAATTCCATTTATAATATTAGTATGTGGCGCTATCAGCCAAATTTTTTTGCAGGTATTTTAGTTGTAAATGTGATTTTACTAAGCGAAATTTCAGGTTCTTACAGCGACGGGTTCATAGATGGCTGTCTTCTGGTTTGTCGCACCACATAGTCTGGTGCCTGCCTCTGTCACCGGGATGATAATCACCCTGATGTGGAGGCAGCAAGCACCTCCGAAATGTCGGTAAACGTCTACAAGACTACGTGGCAACAACCCAGAAGACAGCCATATTCAAGACTGCTATGTTCTACAGTGTTAAGCTGAGAAAATGTTTGCGATTGCAGCTTTTAATACAGAACAGATTTAGAATGAAATGAGGTGGTTGCATGGGAAGTGACTGGTGCCTCTCACAGCTCCTCACTTCACAAACCCAACCACTGTTAGGATCATCCCAAGGAAACACTACATGTATCAGTAAGCACAGCTGCAATAGGAACCAGTGGGTGTCTATTGAACAAAAATAAATAAAAACACGAAGGCCGGAGGTCGGTCGCACGCTGTAGGCCCTAATGATGAGTACAACTTGGTTTAGTATTACATGGTTGACCACAATTACAAATAATCGTTATATGGCTAGCAATGGTAGAGTAATAATAATAATAATGATAAAATGCAGAACCAAATATTCTTAAAAATACCGGTACCAAAGGACAGTGGGTGAGGCTTGGTTGCTCAGTTAAAAAGGAAACTCGCTGGAGGCGAGCATACGATCAGACTAGGTCAGAAGATTAATGTTTAGAATTACCATGTGAGACAGAATTTGGACCAACTCATCTCACCTTCCAGGCCGACCCCAAAACCCAACACAACCAAGGGCTCCCAGGGAGCGCTTGAGTGTTGTTGACTCAAGATCCCAAGTGCATATTAACTTTTCTTTGCTTTTTAAGTTACCAGCCTCAAGCCGGGAGGGAAAAGATTTTAACGAGTTGATGTAGGGGGTATGTGGAAAAGAAGTATGCAAGATGGAACCAAAAGGTGACATTGAGTCAGCCAAAATGGAATTGTTGAAGCCGTTAGAATATAGAGTAAATAAACAAACATCATGGTCGAAACGCGTATGGCAGTAGTGTCTATTGTAGTGTTAATAGTTGTTGGTTTGTGTACTCTATATTCTAATATACTACACGGTATGCAAAGTTTTAAGATTAATGAAGCCATTAAACTGATTCTGAATATGTACCATAAGATGATCCTTGATTTTTAGGTGCTAATTTAAAAATAAAACTCATTTTGCATTACATACACCTATGCTCATATTTAGAAAGGAAGTGGTAATTATGTTATGATTTTGTTCTGGAACTTGGAGCATCCATTGACAGTGTTTCCTCTGCATTTTCCCGTCTGCTATAGTACTGCGTCATCAGTGGGCTGTAAGACAAGTTCTTAGATGAGGAAGCAAAGGATGCAGTTATTCTGTAATCCTTGGTTTCTTTTCAGGTGCAAAGTGTTTGTGAAGAAAGAGGCGTCATTTCAAGAGCGTGGTGTAGGGATGCTGCACTTGAAACCAGTTGGGGAGAAGACACAGCTGATTGTTCGGGCTGACACGAGTCTGGGAAATCTGTTGGTCAATACTCTCCTGACAGCTGGGTTGCCTATTCAACGCATGGGTACAAACAATGTGATGCTGGTTTGTGTCCCTATGCCCGACACCAAGCCACCGCCCATACCCATTCTTCTCCGACTGAAGACTAGTGATGATGCGGATGAAGTACATGATAAACTTAAAGAGCACATCAAGTAATCATGCATCCACTTCACATAAATGTGACAACTAGAAACAATAATCTCACGGTTATCGCATTTTGGACAGTTCGGTAAATGCTGTCAGATAAACTCGTGAAGAATGTTTTTCTGGTACATCATCCTTTGTGTGATGACTTTCAAGGTTACGTAGTTGCCATAGACTGAAGATAATTATCACTGTTACACCTCATGTTAATGTTGGTTTCACATTCCCGTGTTTTTAATTTCTCTGCTGATGAGTGGTCCTGACTGCAAGTACAGTTGACTTTCCTTTGGGTACATAAAATTGTTTTAAGGTCCAAACTTTGCTTGCACATTAAAGAGAATGTTAAATACATTTAATGTTTAGACCTTAAGCTAAAGGGATGCCAGCAGTGAGATTGGTGGAGATGAAAGATTTCTGAACACGAGGAAGTAATGTTATAGCAAACTGTGAATGTTGAAGTGATACAATGTGTGTCATCACATTGTACCCATCTGACATCAAATTCCAAGCAACACACGTAACCTTAATCTTGCGCTATGGTGAAATCCCCTACCAGTTGTTGAGGAAGGAAACTATTTTCTACATATTTGCCCATAGTTTCTGTCGTACTTGTTTTCATGTCACACTAAACGTGCATGATCTTTTTTAAAATTTCTTCCAGATGCTCTTTGTCCCATGCAGTGGATATTTCAGGACAAACAGTTTCACCTTTTCAACAGATTTTCATTAGACTTAATGATGTGGGAGCTGGAAGTCCATGTTATACTGTATTTTTTTGACAGACAAAACTGTCACTGTTCTTTAATTCTGTTGCCCTGCCACAATATATTGTCATATTCCATATGTATTCAGATAAAATGTTTGTTTTTATTTCAGATATTTCCCTCTTAATGCATTTGGATTTTATGATACCAAGGTTCCTGTTCCCCGCGACATTTTTTTACCAGGTACCCTCACTCCTCCAACAACACAATAGGACATTCAGTAACTTATGATAAAGAACCTTACGTTTGTGCTTTTTCTTACATGACAGATTTATCATACGCAATCAAACCAAGCTGAATGAAAAATAGGTACACATTTTACTTTTGGCACACACTTTTCACATGTGAGATTGTTCTTAGGGTCTTTAATACAGCATTAGGAACCATCCGTATATTTTATATGGTTGACTAAATCTCATGTTTTTAGCCACTTTTCACATGTGAGATTGTTCTTAGGATCTCTAATATAGCATTTGGAATCATCCGTATATTTTATATGGTTGATTAAATCTCATGTTTTTAGCATCTGTTGTGAAAAGTTGGGTTTCTATCCTGTGGTCAGAAATGTAAGATTATGTCTGTGACAAGACACTTCCAGGATTTTATTGTTTCATAAAAGTGGACTTTTTGTAACTGTGCTTTGAGCAGTACATAGTTCTTCATTTTATTGTTTCATAAAAGTGGACTTTGTGTAACTCTGCTTTGAGCAGTACATAGTTCTTTATGCTGTGATCATGAATCATGCATTACCACATTCGGAGGCTTCATTGAGGCCTTATCAAGTGCTGTTAGGTCCACATGGGTGGTCCACACTCAAGTCAAATCATGCTCTCGTCATGTGCCATGCATTGCTCCATGCGGGTGGGCCTCATTGGGTCTTTCATTAAGTGAAAAAGTACTGCACGTTGTGTCGCTTGGGTGGGCCCCACTGAGATCTTGCTACAATAGTGAAATCGCTTTTTCTCTCTTGACCTTGAAGCTTGCAGCCATTCAACCATTGAGTGATTCTGCAGTTTTTTGCCAAGTAATTCAGAATTAGAGATGAACGATGAAACAAAACGCATGGAACCAATCAAGTTCCTGTGGTTGCAGCCACACCTAGACTGTAAATGCATTGTGGGTAGGATGAACTCTCGTCAAGGTTGTGTTAACAAAAACACCGAACCCATAATTTCTAAGATGCAGGATTTATACTTTGAGTTTCCATGTATAATCACATGGCATATGGGGGCATGGAAGTGAAGCTCCACACTTACATTAGCACTAAATGGGGATGAGTGGTAGCTTCTAGGTGCCTTTATTCCTCTGGTATCTACTGGGTAGGAGAATGTGTGCACCTAGTGCAATGTAAACAGAAAAACCACAAGAACTTCACTGAAACTTGTGTTTCATTTATAATCGGTTAAGTTTACTGACCAAATTGTCACAATCTGTGCTGTAATTTACAGGTGAAAACAAATGGTTGGCATGCCTGTTTCATATTTGGGAGTTGCCAGTATAAATGTCATCTCGGAGACTGGGCCGTCATTGAAGTTTCTTGTATTTTATTTTAACTTTTATCAGCCATGCATCATTTCTTGCACGTAGCCCATCTGGCCAGTCATCAGAACAGCATGCAGTAAAACCATTAAACCCTGGAGTTAAAGTCTGGCCAAGAGCCCCATAGAACAGGTTTATCCCTTATTCCCATATGATAAAGGTTTTATATGCCACAATCACATTCTTCTATTTCCTTCCTAATTTTCCATTAATAATCATCCTGTCATATATAAGTAAGTCATGCGGATTATGCAAGCCACTGGTGTGCACAGACTTGTGAAATATTTGAGACAACGTTGATCTAAAATTTTGTCGAACAAGACTACATAGCTTTCATTTATTCCCTGCTGGAGTTATTAGATACGGTCCAGTGCACAGTCCGTGCCACTGCAAGAGAAGAATTGTAGTCTCCACTGCACAAGCAAGTCATGTTTTTTTCTTTAGATATATTTTTTTCTTCATTGTGGAAAACGTTCTGCTGAAATGTCTTGCACGATATTCACATTGGGATACTTGGAATGTCAACACAAAGAACACTGTATAGTAAATAGAAAAACATAAATGCTGTGGTGCAAATTATTACTGAAGTACTGCAGACAAAATGTTTTACTGCATTTGGACAGTGATTGACTGCGAAAAAGGACTGATCTATAACATTAGTGCTATCATCATTTGTATCATTATTCTATATAGAAAAAAGTACAAGCAGAACTTTTAATTAAGTATGATTATATTATTAAGAGTACATAACAAACTATGAAACATTTCATGCATAGAACAATTTTTCATATTTATTCTAAAATTTATGACTGTTCTTCATCTCAAACTTCATCACTTTGTAGACGTAGGAACCTCAGGACCACTACAGTATGAAAGATCCTCAATGAATTCACCAAATTATGACATGCCAGTCACTTTGAAGGCTGAAATATGTCATATCTGCCAAAAAGGAAATGTTTGTATATATGTCGATTGCCGTCTTCTCGGATGATATGACACTTGTGGCTATCAACATTTCAAAGGAACCACCTAAGTTACCTTATTGTTAGCATATTACTATACTCAGAAGACCCTGGGTTTAATGCAAACCACTACCAGTAATAAAAAATACGTAAAAATCTGTCGGTATAATGACGACAGATCACCTGATGATGGGAGTAGAGTCAACTCCTGAAACATTACATAAATCAAATTACCCCAGACAATGGACAGTGTCAGACATGTTATTCTTGTGTGGATGGATAATATTAAAATTGATTGTAGACATAATATGTAAATATGTGATCTGAAATTTTCCTATGGACTACTGTGATTGTAATGAATCTTTGGATTCCATAAAACCAGATGTGCAGATGTCTTACACAATAGCAGTATTTCAGCGTTTATACCTGCTATAAGATCGTGAACACAGCGTTACCTACTAGAGAAGGACCCTTCTCCCTTGTGATGTTACCTCACTTGTGGGTCAACCTTTGAATGTCTCCGACTGTCTCTCTCTTTCCTGTAGATCCAGCCGGCTTACTGCTGTTTTCCTTGAAATTATATAATCATCCGCTGTTGGTTTGCTGGGCCTAACACAGATTAACGCAGCCCATTTGGCTATTCTCTCATAGTTCCTGTCAGGCATCCTCAAGTACCTAGGAGTTTCCATTGACAAGTCACCCAGACAGGTAGTGCGCTACTTGAATGTTGGACACAGCATTTGACCTTGGGAGGGAGGGAGAGGAGCTGAAGTGATATAATACAATAAACATAATACTTCACTTATTTGTCACATCCATATTTTTGTTGTTTCAATGATAATTCTCTAACAGTCATTTTAATTCTGATTAATCCTAATTAACTGAAATAAACAGAGTTGACACAGAATAATGAATTCACAATTTAAGCTCAGTATACTTGGCCTGTGTCTCTTCCAAGTGGTGGCATACTGCTAAAGTGAACTTCAGAACCTCTTAATGCGCCAGATTATGTTTTGGTGTGATTGTTATTGTTGTAGTGGGGTGAGAGTATGTCTCTATGGAATTGTGGTTGCCAAAAGGGCCGTATATTCAGCTGTAAACTTGTATGTGTGTGTATGATTGTATTATAAAGAATGTTTCACAATTGGTCTGCTCTACATCCAGGGGTAATTTTCAATAAAAGTTCTTATACAACTTTGGTCCTATTTCCAGCTATTGTGTAGCTATGGCAGGAGTTTACTGCCTGTCAAATATTTTGGGGCCCTCTTGTACGTATGCAGCAGCGTCCATAAACTGATACACGAGTTCCTCTCTCATGTGCACTTTGTCTCTGTAGGTTATGTTCTTCATGAGGCCCCGTGAAAAGAAAAGAAGTGGGGTTAGGTTTATAGATCTTGGTAGGGGACCACAATTGTCAGTCCAATGATTTTTGTAATGCTGATCCAAGTAAGCTATAACTTCATGGCCAAAATGTGGAGGTGCACCATCAAGCTTAACAAAGAACCTGTGCTTTGTCTCCATAGGCATATCCTCCATGAAAAGTGACAATTTGTCAGGAATGATTCATCTGGCAGTAGAATCTTGTTTGGAAAAGGATAGGCTGTGCACTGAAAACCATGGTGAATATTTTGTACAGTTATAGGTTGTATCTCATATAATGTAGTAATGAATTAACTTAATTAAAACATTTATTTATCTTTCCTGCATGCACTTCTGAATTTACACAGCTCTGTTACAGTTGGACACAGGGTCAATATTTTAAAACTTTTTTTTACTCACAATTACGTTCAAAACCAAGAAGATCTTACCAGTTAGTGAGGGACATTGGAAAATGTGCCTACTGAAAAGGTATTACATGCCCATTAACAGAGTAGACTTGGACATTAGACCAAGCTAGGTATTAACAGATTAATGACAGATTTTTAAGAATTATAGAAGGGACAAACATGTTAGGAATGAAAATCTAAAGGTAAACACCTTGCAAGACAAACTAACATATAGTAGAATGAGATGGTATTCATGCAATTTAAGATTGAATGAGGGGAGAATTCCAAAGAAGGTCTAGAGCATGCAATTGACAGTAAAATGACCAAGATGCAAACTTTGGTAAAGAGGGGAACAATAGGTTAAGGAAGATGACACACACAGGGAAGGAATTGAAGAAGAGGAATGTGGGAAGACAGACAGAGAGGTTTGGTTGTCATACAACCCATGAAAAGTGCAAAATGTCTTAGGATGAAGATGAAGACGTGCATCAACTATATTCACATTATCATGCTCCATTACAGTTTTTATTTACAATTTTTGTAAGGTAAAAATGCAACAGATTAATAGCATGTTAGGAACAAATAACAGATGTCAAGAGCAACAAAATATTGTTATTAAGATAGGAAATGGCTGTTCTGAAAGAGAACAGCAACAATTTACCAAAGCAGTAGCAGAAGCCATCAAGTTAAAATAAAAAAAGATCTTTCTGCTGTTCCCATATTTTGTGAACAATTGTTAAATGTGTTAAAATGCATAATACATACAGTTCTGTTAAAGAAAGATGGAGAGAGACCGGGTGATGTAGGAGGGATTAAACTGCACTAAGCAGTGACACCAGGTGATACCGAGAACTGTTGCTTAACCCTCATAATTCTGTCATTAGTTTCGCTTTCTCATAACATTTTACATATTTCTTTGTAATTTGTTTTAAATATTAAATATAATGGCATTTATCAACCAGTGGTCCACGACTTAATTTGTTCTATAACATATTTTAGCTGATAAATATTTCTATCATAGCACTGCTGCCTTTCATGTTTCACTTTCTTTTGTGAATGACATTTTATGTTGAACATTGTTTGTTCTTATCTCCTCTTATGCAGTGTGTGTTGGTGCGAGTAGCGAGGAAGATAATTTGGAGGTTTCCGATCAGCTGCTGAAGCCATTAAAAATGAGGAGAAAGAGACATGTCAGAAACCCAACATCTCTACAAGATGGACATGTCTGATACCCTAAACTCGTATTTCCTAATATGTAATTTTAATTTTCATAAGTCCACTGTGGACGACTGTGATAAATTTTTAAATTTTAATGCAACATAAATGCTCTCACTTTTATCTTGTCAACACATGCTAGTAATAATTAAGTTTGTAGAGTATTATTTATACTGTACAGTGTGGGACAAAAAGGAATGCACTGCTGTTTACCTGGTCCATGAATCAGGAAAGGTTGGAAGATCTTGAAACTAGAAACCATGTGCCTTATGGACCATGGCCTTATATTATATTCTCAATATTTCTGACACAAAAGTGCACCACTTAACATCATTAGTCCAATAAAATTCACATTACCGAAACCAAAGGATTAATTTTATTGTCCAGTCATCTCCATTTTGGTTATCTTAAAGTGGGCACTTTTCCGTCACAACCGCCATTATTTAACTGTTGGAAAAAATACTGGGAGAAAAAGAAAAATGCCTTCTACTGACTGTGGATTCTCAGAGCATACCATCACAAAGCATACCTCTGCTGAGGCGTGAACATCCTTGTTCACACTTATTCGGAAATGAAAGTCATTGGCTCCACAATATAATGACATCCAAAGGTCACTCACTCAATTTGTTTCTTGTGACGCAATCTGGACAACCGTGACAGAAAGCTTCCAAATTAATTAAGATGTGGAAAGTGTTTGAAAGAGACAAGGCCACAGAACTGCTTATAAAGGCAAGAAGTCTGCTTTCCAGCAGCATTTGTTTCCACAATGTTGGCAGCCCTCTGTGTTGTGTTACTGAGTCTCGAGGCACAGAGTTATAGCAGTGATCTGAAAACAGTTGACGTTGAGTTGATTCCAGAGGAGCAGAGTACTGCCGATGTGGGGAGGAGCCTTTCCTTGGGACTGGATGACAAGAGACATAACTTCATTGATATACTGGATGACCAGACAGCGGCAGGTTCAGAGTTCTACGCTCCTGTTATTGGCAGCTATGACGAACTGCAGAGGAAGGAGGGTGAGTCCTATAGGCTGGAGGACGTTGGGGACGCAAGAGGTGAGGTGGGCTTTTATGGTGCCTCGAGACAGAAGGGCTCAAGGGCACAGGTGAGTGAGGATGGTTATGCTGCAGACCGTCAGGCAGCCCACGGGGACAAGTTGAACCGTGGTTACTACGACGACAACAGTGGTGCCCGGAGGGCCTATGACGTGGGGCAAGCCTCATATGGGGATCAAATGTTTAACCGCCAGGGGCAGGCCGCAGCTGCGGTCGGTTCCAGAGGAGGCCACCGGAAAGGTCACCACTCCTCAGGTTTCAAGAATTCATACTACAAAGATGAGTCTGGTAACAAATCCCGCTTCTTTGATGATGCTAATGACGAGGGCGGCCACTATCTGTACGACGCCAGGGATGGCGCTTTCAGGAACCAAGGAGCGGACAAGTACCACGGAGGCTACGAGGACGGGGCCTACCAGGACAGCGCCAGAGGGAAGCAGGGCAAGTATGGAGCCGCTGCGGATTATGACGACAGCCGAGGCCACAAGGGACGCTACGCGCAAGACGACTATTACGACGATAAGACTGGGTACAATCAGCAACGTGGAGGGGAAAGTTTCGGGAGGAACAAAGAAGCCGACCGTCAGTACCACAAAGCTGCGGAAGAGTATAGCAGGCCTGCTGTAGTTGGAGGTTATGTGACCCCAACTGGTATTTACAACTACGACAGGCAATTAGATTATTACAACCCCAAAGCCTCTCATACAGCAGCAAGTTATCCAGTGCCATATAACAATTTTTATAAAGATAGAGTAGGACAATCTGCGTCTGTTGGTGATTCCGTATATAATGGCCCTATAAAGGGAAAAGGTTATGCAGAATACGTAGATTCAGGTGCCAGCAATTATTATCCGGGAAACAGGGGTGAAATTAACGGATATGACGAACCGAGTTATTACAGTTCCATTAATTAATACAATTTGTTAACAGTTTGAATAGTAATTATTAACCAATGAAAATATACACACAACGACCAAGCGCGGACATCAAAGTACCATGGATTACTTCCTGTCTTTTCCATGGAAACTAGCACAAACTTGTTTTCTTTTCCAAGAGAGAGCGCTACATTCAGAACAGACAAGTCAGGCAACGCAGTTGCTGTAATCGAGTTAAATGATGTGTTACGTAAGTGATTAGTGCTGCTGTGAACGTTGGAGGGTGATGTAAAGTTGCGTGTTGTTAACGACCTACAACATGTTGCTGCGGTAATTAAATAGTGACATGTTGATAAAAGTGCATTTTATTTCAGTTATATGCAGTGGATCTACTGCATCACAAAGAGCATTTGCAAGGTAAATTTACGATATTTCCCCATTGCTAAAAATGTTAATATTGGGTTCATGCGCCCACTTTAAACGCAACAACGTGAAATGAAAACATAAATTGGGTCATGGTTGTTCATAGCTGGTTGTATCGGTATCATGCGTTAAAGAATAGGGTCATTTTAAGTACGAAAGTTATTTTTACTGGCGCACATTGCATTGTTGGAAAAGTATGAGTTGAATGCATATTTTGCTATCGTTAGAAATGACGTTTTGTTTCGCTTTCGTTATTAATGCATGTTAGAACGACCTTGAGTGAGGCTGCAGGTGATCAACATGACAAAGCGTTGTGCTTACGAAATCTGTTAAAAAGTTTACAGAATGTGTAGTGCAGTAACTGAAAAATAAAACTATTGTGATGGCATTTGCAGAATTGTAGTTGCAATTGAAATGTTTCTTATAACATCCTTGCACGAAGGGCTTACAAATTACGCTGTGTGTTCAAGTTGTGTAAGCTTCAAAATTGACCAACAGTTGCAAAATGAAATGAAAACATATCGAAATATAGTACATGTATTATTGGTTTGTTGTGTGTATGTGAGAGAGATTACAAATTACAACATAATCTAGTTCAGTATCACATTCTTCAATGATCTGTTATCATGCACAATGCCAGAATCCTGCACTAAAGGACTCTGGTAATGAAAAGGAGAAAAAATGTTAGAATAAATGTTATTAGAAAAAAGAGAATGAGTTTTAGTGTTGCAACAATAGATTTGTTGAGTCATGTTCCAGTGTAACAGTAAACTTATTTATATTTAATATATGCATATATATTTAGGGCTTATCTGATTTAGAAGTTGTGTACTAAATTATAAAACCAGATATTTCTTTTAGATTACAGGATGTAATTGTATATACTTTTCTTTAGCGAGAGTTGTGATTTCTTTATAAATTAACAGAAATGTTATTGTTTGTAGCGTGTTGTTGCAGTATGAACTACTCCCAATGTATTTGTAGTCACTTTGTTGTCCCATTCAAGAAGGTTTGATTTTTGTAAGTGACAATGACAGTTTTCCAGTTTGAATTACATTTACATTTGAATAGTCTACTTTGATGAACGCTTAGCCCATACCATTACAATGTGAAGCTACTGCAGGGCAGGGGGATGTCTTCTCGTACTCCAACTCCATTTATTTGATGGTTTTTTTAATACGTTCAGTGTGGAAGACCTAGATTAAATAATGTCAACAACATTGTACGTATTTTCATTCTTATTTTCGTATCAGAATCCCTGCTGTACATACGGGTGTACATTATCATGTCAGGTATTACTTGAATTTATTCAGAGTCGAGGTGGATCGGTGTTGAAGACCAAAGTAAGGACTGACATTTTGATATTGTGCTTGGAGATCAGGCTTGTTGCACGTCTCATGGCCCGTTTTAAATTAGCCTAAAGCATTTATGGGATCATTACTATAAGGGGAAAGTTGAAATACTCACAAAAAGCTGCCTCTCGGTCACTTACTCTCACTGCAAATCGAACAAGACTTGCCCTGGTATTGAACACAGCCTCTGTTAACTACCTCGGAAGTGGTACAACCTCTTTCTAGAGGCTAAGAGGCTTCAATAGCAGATGTTGATGTTTAGAAGACGTGTGAATTTCAACAGGAAATGTTTTGTATGATGAGGGGTTTTTTGTTTGTTTGTTAGAAGCATGATTATATAGTTTACTGATAAACCAGAATGCTGCATGTTCCATCATCTGATTCTGCTTGACTTATTACCAGTTGCACTGATAAACGAGACACAAGTCACAGGTGAATCATTTTCAATGCCTCCTCCATAAGTCGATGTTATTGTTTTTATGGGGAAAAAAAATCTTGTAGCACTTGGCAATGAGTCATGCAGTTTCTGCCTGTAGCTGGAATGTGACAGTTGCTTTCTGGTTTATCAGTAAACTCTATAATAAGTGTCGCTCCACTGTTCGTTCCTCCACTCTTTGAGCCGATAGGTCACCGACTTAGAGAGCGGGGTCCCTAGTGACCTCATCCCGAGTACTAGCGGGCAGGGGCGGACGCCGCTGTGGCCTCGAGGATGGCACTGGTAGGTCCTCGACGGTTACCACGGGACTGGTGATCCTTGACTCCGTAGTCTCGACGGAACGGCCGGTCTACCGAGTGTACGCTCTCGCAGGGAATTCGGCGTACACCAAAAAAATCTTGAGTCGTCCTTCACGTCGGTAAACTTATGAGATTTGACACAGACTGTACGTTGAGAGTGTCAGCACGAAGCTTTCGCAATGCACGTGGCGTTGCGAGCACGACGGCTCCACGTCGACACATTGCACGTACTAAATAATGTCGATTTTTTGTTATTAAGAAGTTTTGTGTTCACGTGGTAGATAATGAATTGGTCCAGACAGTGCGGAACTAAGTTACAGCTCAGTTCCTCGCGATACGAAGGGACTAGAACCGCGTTATAAATGTTTTTGTGGCTTCTTAATTTGGCTTGGCTTAGGACCACCCAAAAGAAAAGTAATCTTCGGGTTGTGTGACGTCATCACCTAGCACACGTAAAGAACGCAAATTTACTTTAATGTAAATCGAAAGATAGTATAATTGCGTCATATTGTGAATCAAATATTCAATTAATTATTCGGTTTTTGTCCGTCTAATCACAATTATATTTAAAAAAATTACAAATAAGATAATTAAAATATCATTTTTATGTCCCACATCGAATAATCGATTTACATTTTGGAACATTTTTTTACAACATGTTTCGGTTTCATCGAACCATCTTCAGGTGTAAAATTATATCAACAAACTTTAAAACTCAATTACAATTTCTGTTGTGTAGCTTTTTGGTGATGTTCATATCTAGATTATTTTCACATATTGGAGCGAAGCCACGAACCATTACTTATAGATGCTAGTACGTAAAGTCCTTACTACATTTGATTGATTTTTGTTATAATATTACCCATTTCTAAAAAGAAAAGAAAGACATGAGCGCTTGTAATTCGACTTAACGTTGTCGTACAATAACGAGGTATCCGCCATTTCGTGTTTCGTGCTTTGGTTAGTGCGAAGTGATAGTAAAACCCACCCTCAGGCTTCACGGCAGCGCTCAACTCTTTTTTATGTTGACGAACCGTGAAGTGGGTTCTAATGGTCTGCTTTGTTTGCTGTGGGCGAGCAGACAAACAAATCTGGAATTCTTATCGCCACTGACGAGTATTTGTAGAGTAAACGTTGCTCTTGAACGAGTAGATGAAAACGTAGTTATTTTTAACAGCGAAACTTTTGTTTTATTTTCCAATTGCGACAAAGAAAGAATTGATCTGCGACTCTTGTCTTTTCGATTGTCTGCGCAGTTCCTCCAAGCGAATGTCAGGCCTGTGCCGAGTAATCTTGGCCGCCATTCACGGTCGCTCCAGATGGACCTGTGACTTACACATTATTTCAGGCGAATAGGTGGTGTGCACGAGGGATAGATCTGTTAGCATCTCAGCACATCGAGAAGTGTTCTAATTCTTCAGAGCTTGCTGAGCAGTCCTTGATGGAAATTCAGCAATATGTGTCTAGTGCTGATGAGTTCAAACTTGGCAGTCCCAAGGAGTTCCGTTCCCTTTTCCAAGACTCAGTTACTCCAGAAACTAAAGCTCTTGTGACGCAGGTTAGTGAAACAGGATGTGTTTCTAATGAAATGTGACCCCTCTGATATAACACTTCATGATCATCCTTTCTACCTTCTTTATTTAAACCCTGTACTATATGTAGTATAATCTCCAAACATTTTGTTTGAGTGGTTAGCACTCCTGCTACATATACAGGAGTTTCCGGGTTCAAGTCTCAGCATGGAGACCAGCTGTCCTGACTAAGGTTTTTTTCTGATTTCCTCAGTCCCTCCAGGCAGATGCAATGGTATTACCTTAAATTAGGCCATGACTGCTTACTTCCATATCTTCTTAAATTTATTGTTTATTGGTGCCCGAATTTATAACTTGTGTTGGACAAGGCCGTGGTCTAGGGAACGCGGAGTTTTCCTCCGTGGCATCCCAACAATTAGTCCATTCACACACAGAAGAAGGCAATTGCAAACCACTTCTGGATCATCTGCCAAGAACGTATATGAACAGGTCCCAGTCCGAGAAAAGGATGGAAGGATCCTGTTCATATGGACCTGTCGTCAGACAGAACACTAAATAAATAAATAATCTTACACCTACAGACAGCCTTCTACCAAACTTTGCACTACGACTCCGTGTTTGGTGCGACTTATGTTCGAATCTTGGACGGAAGACCTATTCTGAGAGGATTTTCGTGGTTTTTCTCAGTTCTTCCTTCAGTTTGTAGCGTATTTCTTCAGAAATTTAACCTGAGAAGCACTCTCTCTCTCTCTCAGACGTCGATTCTTGAGCAGTATCTCTTCGCCACGAAGATAATGCAGGAGAACCGGGTTATTATCTTATCTTTATGCCAGGTGTCGAAATTTTCGTCTTACCGGTGTCGTGTGTCAGCAAAAACTGACTCGCTCTGGTTAGGCCAGTTAAAGACTTGCCCCAGTATCGCAATGCCTTTGACTTATCTGCGCCGTCGATGGATTGAGGTCGGTCCGCGCGCTCTCTTGACACGTGGACTAGAAGAGATTGTTCCGGGTGTGCGACCCACAAAAGCCTCCACTGTCCACGTCATCCTTGGGTACCATGACCTGTACTCGGGGGCTGGATTAAGGTCCTTGTAGGCCACAGGCTCCTCCGTTCCGTATGCCCTTTGGTGGGTGTATCGGTTTGTGTGGTTAGTTAGATTGGTAATAAAAAAGTTTGTTTGTCAAACTCTTTGGTGTTTGAAGGCCGCAGGCACAATTCTAGTGTCCGTATTGGACAATACGGACCTCCCTCGCTGTCGCCGTTGCTGTGTGTGCGAGTGGTTTGTCTTATGAAAGGAGCGAAGGTGTCACACAACGGCCCGGCCACTGTTGGGCACGGGACAATCCCGCAAGGAGCCAGCAAGTTCGTTGTTTGGGCAGTGCCCTTTAAGTGGTCTCAGCACGGGGGGGCACTCCCGTCTTCGGGCACATATCATCACCACTCAATTTCTTGGAAGGTGGATTTGGCTTGGCGGACTTCCGTCGTGGGCCTCGAGGTCGCCGGACCCCGAACCTGACGGACTGAAGCAGTTCTCTCTCACGGAGATTGGTTGTTCGACGTGGAAGTTTCGGTGCTGTTGAGGGACTGTTGATGCGGTCGTCCTACGGCAGGTGTAAGCCGGTAACCCAACGCGATGTACGTTACGCGAAGATTTCACAAGGATTTGGTCACGCGTGTTGGGTTATCAGCCTTTTTTTGTGTAATGGAAAAATGATGAATGTGCAGATCTTTTATCAGTTACCAGCTCAATTTAAGATATTTTTATTAAGTTCTTAGCGTGTGCTAATCTATCTGGCCGCTCCTCTGTGCTTACAGAGCAGTATTTTTCTTCTAATTTCACGTCAGAGAGACGAGGAGGGATTCGGACAACACAATTGTCATCCATAAATACGCTAACCACAAATTCGTCACTTTTATCCGCGTTTTCATCTTTCAAAAGACGCACGAGTCCCTTCAAAAATTGGCTGTTGCGTTTGAGAAAGATGGATCTCATTACGCGTAGTTAAACAATTGTGTACTGTTCTTGCTTTCGAGTCATTAGTGCTCTTGTCGGTGCCCTAATGACACCGATTTTGTCGTCGTCGTCATTCGACCGTCACCTGTCTCGTTGTGACCGTCCGCATTTGCCGACTGCCCCAAAACTCAAAACAGCAGCTTCTTATTCCTTCGATCAGGATAAGTTTTAAAATTTTAAAAACTTATTCTGTTACAGCCTGTATTATTTTTACCGAACGACCGCTGTAACCAAGGCTGTCGTAAGCTGACGCACTGGAATATTCTCGGAAACGTTGTTGCCTGCCTGGTAGTCCACCCGCACGGCGTCGTAACCCATAACATCGACAGCAGTTCTTTTGAGTTACTTTCTTTAGAGTGATTGCCGATAGCTAAGAGCCTACAACTGGCAGTCACTAATAAAATACAAAATATTAATGAAAATAAAGGGAAACACCAATATC